GAACATCTACCAAGAACTTGAACAGGGGTTGCTTTTTTCTCGAATGGCATATAATCAGAAATTTGGTGTGCCTCCATCCTCACAATATGAATGTAAATCATTCGAAATCCAAACTGCAGCTTGCAGCAGTGGCCTTTAACGGAGGCCGCTGTTCGATATCCTACTGCGTTATCCGTGAGAGATTCCAAAAAAACGAAGAGCTCTGTAGGGCATGCTATGTCTTGATCACTAAGGCTTTCAGGGCAAAGCAAGGATCGAAGTAAACGATGAAGCGCCCTTGAGATATGATCGTTGCCTGCCGAAGCTTTTCCTTTCATCGCCACCAAGACATCACAAAGACGGCGGCTCTCGCTGAGCTGATTGTCGTGCCCCAGGAAGAGTGACTTCACAACCTGCTTATCCGCATCCTTCTTTGATTGCACAAGGGCAGCCAATCGAACAAGCATAGCGATAACCTTCATGAGGGGACCTCGATAAGAGGGGATGTTCTCATCGTTAATGAGGCGAAAGAACGCAAGGTGCTTTTCATCCCTGAAATGTATCATAACGTCACTCAATGCATCAGTGGAAATAAGTACAGGGGGTTACGTACTGCGTTTTGAAACAGCCCTCGTGGGCCCCATGTAAGGAGGAGATGAAGTCTTGGCCATTTCTCAAGTACGCAGTAAGCTTTGCACGCACGTGAAGCAATCCTTTCTCAATATATCGGTCGCGCTCATTCAATTGCGCTAGAACCAACTGTTTCGATGGGGGTAGAAGCAAGCATCTAACCTTTTCAAGTGGAATTTCGGCCAAGATTGAGGCTCGATGCTGTGGCCACTTCAGTTCTCGGAACCAGGTAGAATTTGGGGAAGCGTCGTAGGTTTTGGTGGTGAAGGATGGGGTAATTGGAAGGTCATCAGGGGTGTAGTTTGGCAAACAGAATAAGTGGTCCTTGGGACGCCCTTTTTTGTAGGTATAAATGTGAATGACTTGACACCAGCTTCCCTTCACCGTTTTTGGCCTCTTGGAAATGGCATGAATTTTTTTCATGTGCGAATAGAATTCGGCTTCTGGACATCCTCTGTACGAGTCATTTCTTGCGATCCACTGACTACATTTGGGGCACAGGAATCGGTATCGGATTGTCTTGGGAGAAAGCATGAGAGGCATGGATAGGGTTTCAGGGAGGATGGCTGTTTCTGGAGACTGAAGGGCATCAGAGCTAAGCCAATCTCTAATATGCGTCACAATATCATGTTGTGTTGAGCGGTCGAGTTTCAGGTGGGGATGTCGCTTCCTGAGGTGCGAAGGAATGGCGTTCAAAGGGAGAAGCATAGAGTGGGGCCTGCAAACGATAGCTTTCAGCTCTGCACTATACACAAGGTCCAGAAGCTCTAGAAGGTCGCAGGAGGTTTCCGGGTGTTCATTTTTCTGCGAGACGGAGGAACACAAACGAAATTGAGCTGTATACAATGAGCTTTGTGTGGGCATGAAGTTTTCCATAGTGGAACGTCGGTCTTCAAGGAAGGGCGCCATTTCAGATCTTGTCTTTCTGGGGTTCTTTCCCAGTCTCAAAGCATAGAGCGAATGTCGTGTTTCGACGGCTGCTTCTGTTTCCTGTGTAGATCCCCGTTGTGCTCGCTTCGTTGACTGAGACTCATATTTCTTCCCATCGGTTTTACGTTTCTTGTTAGATAGCGGCGGGTGGGTTGGCTCTCCAACTTTTCTCTTCGTCGGGAGGTTGTATTCCTCTTCGTCCGAATCGGAATCATCTTTGTCACTGTCCGAGTCGCCGTGATAGTCCAAATCAGATCCAGGTGAAGACCTGTCTTCTCCTAATGCTCCATCTCGTATTCCTCTCGTGCGTTCGCTGACAACTTCCTGGCGAGGGCGAAGTTTTCTGCCATCAGTACGTGCTGGAGCACGCCGTGGAGGCGGGAGCACGACTCCATCAAATAAAAGTGCTGTTCGGACACCATTTCCTGGTACCAATTAATATCAGATATAATTGAGAGCTTGATTACTTACCCGGGGACTGCGTAGCAGTACTCTGTGAGACCCGCGGTCGCACTTTGATTGTGTCTTCAATGATAATATTTAGTTAGGGATGGAGGGCTCTTGGGCGAAAACAAACCAATTCCATCTTCTTTGGTGAGCTCCTCAGGCATTGCAGATTGGAAAAAATGAACAGGAATATGGAGCAATTGGTGGCCAACAAAAACAAAAATTGATGACCCTGGATGACCCTGATAGGCCGTAGGGACAAGAAAACGAAATTAACATATCAAATTCCAGCTTCTCCCACTCCCGACCTACATTATCCAACAATGCACCCCATCTCCATCTTCCTAGGGCCATGATAAGTCTAGTAATAACCTGGGATATTGAGCTCCCTCTTCCCAGGATGGGTCGCCCCGCCCCTTATACTTAATCTCTCACTCGCGAGTTCCCCACCAATACCATCAGAGACGATCCTCAGTCCACTGACGCTAGGTATATGCGGCGGCGGTTCAAAAGTGGACGTTGACGTAAGGGAGAGGGTGAATGTTGGAGTGGAAGAGAGAAAATCGGAATACGAAATAAAGGAAAGTCGTCTCTTGGCGACGGCGGATGAGAAGACGACAAAAAAGGTGAGAATCCTGCATTGGGGCTAATCGTATTGCGCGAAGGGTGGGTGCGTTGGAACGGTGCGTTTGGCTCTGGAAGTGAAGCAAGTGGGTGTTCTTGCGTAGTCGTCGTAGTAGGCGAAGAACTACCCATCGACGACGTCGTCGAGAAATATGCCGAAGTAGGAGTGACACGAGGGACGGCGTAGAAGCTACCGTCACCTTATCCGTTTGCATCTGGATCGTAAACCTGGCGCTGGTGACCGGAAACTGGGCAGGTGAATGCAGGACGACGATCGTCGACGGTGACGGTGTTAGGTGGTCCATGTGGGCTCAATAGGAGGTGGTGGACAAGTACACCGACAGTGATGAATGCTAGGACGGACGCGGCAAGTCCAGAACGGACGGAACGGACTGCCCAATTGTTCAGTCGGCTTTAGGCGGGATACACTGTGGGGGTTAGGCAGGCGATGAGGGAGTGTAGGTGGAGAGGGTATAGCAGGCGGCTCAATGTCCTGTTCAAATATCCCCGATGAAGACAATTGTCTGGGGTTATCGCGTCAGATCGGGCTATGAGGGAAGGAGAAAGACACGTACACCGAGGTGGGCGACGATGGGATTGAGTCGGGGGAACGTGATCCGATTCAGGATTCGTGTGCACATAGGCCTCGTTGGGAGTGTCTTGGAGGTGAGCCGAGGCTGGATGTCGTAGGGCGTAGATCGACGTTTGGAGGAGAGCGGGCGCGTGGATGTATTACTTATTACTGTTCGGGGTGGTGCGGAATGAACAGGATGAAAACATATGAGAGGGATTCTGGTGATGATGCCATAAAAAAAGGGCGATAGACGATAGATGGCAGAAAACTTGAAAGTGGTGGTTCGTAAGTGTGTACTTGGTTTGTTATCAGATAATATGTTTGACTGTGTTGAACTGACGCCCTCAATGGACCACTCCCTCTCCTCCCTTCTCGAAGAATAACATCGCTCACTAACTACCCCAAAGAAAAATTCGGAACAGGCAAGAAGAACGCCGCGGCCCCCGCTCTGGTGCGACTAAAACCACCCAGGCGAAGAAGAATCTTTTGTCGGAGGCTAATGTGAAGAACTTTGATATCGGTGCGTTCTCTTGTCGTCGCTTCTCCGTCGTGGCTCTAAAACTCAGCTTGGGCCCAGGTCAGGACATCCCACCCCAATGGACCCACACCGTTCCGTCAAATGGTCCGAATACGTCTGTCTCCAAGGGCCAACCAAGGGCAATAGGTCAGTCTGCACCGACGTCTCAGGGTACGCCCTCTCATATCCTGGATAAGAACACTGCTACGCAATTGTTCAAAATCTTGAATAAGGGCCGCAGCATGTGAAGCAAGGAAAGAGGGCCGTTTGACTGCTGCTGCGTTTGCTACCGAGGAAAAGGATAGGATGCCAAGGTCCGTTCTTATCCCCTTCCTCTGACGTTGTTGTTACTGAGCAGGACTTCAAGAAACCCTCTTCGTCAAGTACGGCCTTATCGCTCTCATCGAAGCCAAGAAAGCCGCGCTCGTTGTCGTCGCCCACGACGTCGATTCCATTGAGCTCATCGTTTTCCTCCCTGCGGTGAGCCGCAAGATGGGCGTTCCCTACGTCATCCCGAAGGTTAAATGTCGTCTCGAGACTGTTGTGCACAAGAAGACGGCTGCTCTTGTCGATCTTCAGGAAGTACAGAGTGAGGATTAGAGGGAGCTTGCGACGCTTGTTAGTGCTGTCAAGGCTAACCTCTAAGTTGTTGTAGTTGTCTCTTTTTTTGAAGGTCGGTGGACCACGCGATGTGACAGTTCATCGCTCGGAAATAGGAATACAAGGCGAGCCGCAAACTTGCTAATTTAGAGGCAACGAAGGTTCCTCTGTTGATGAGAACCATTCTGGTTCGTCTTATTGACCACACCGTGTGGCAATCCAGCAACAAGGATACAGTTGGATGCAAATCCACCCTGAACACTATTTCCTTGCATTCTACCACCGTAAATACGCAGACGACCGTGCCTACCTCATCGCCGATACCGACGCCTTCTACACACCGACACCGGACGAACGTGGATCCGGTCCAAAGCCCTGACTCCACCAAACACCTTCGCAGCCCAAGTCACTGTCCACTTCCACCCGAACATCGACAACCTCCTCTGGACAGGCAACAGAGGCTGCTCGGCCCAGGCGCAAAGCTGTCATGCAGAAGCCCAAGTGTACTCCAGGGATAACGGGCGGAAGTAGTCGCTCGTCGATAGCTACATGCCGAATTGGGCATGGGCGAAAGACGCGGAGCTCAATACTAATGCGAACGAAATTGTTCGCAAGTCCTTTCGGGACAAAAAGGGCGACCAACGCTCCTTCCGGAATGAAAAATCCGGCGACGGGGTCGAACTATTACGCGAATAAAGGGAAGGTTTTTGATCACGTTGTTGGTTTTGCGAAGTTCTCAGAGTTGCTGGTCATCGCTGAGGTACGGCGGTTTCCTAAACTTTCGTTGCACCCGGGATCCGATGCTCTTTTCCCGGATGATACCCGAGAGACGCTCCTGGGAGCTCGAAGTCTCGCTTGACGGAAATCACTTTGCAACTGGCAAGTTCCCGCCCAGCGTGCACCCGGAAACGCATGTGAATATTTTTTACTTCTTGTCTGAGCGATGGCTTTTGATGACTTGCTCTTTTAGGCATACACTGTTTTAGGGTCAAGCACGAAATCACTGTTCCTTCGCATGACCATGTCGGAGGATCCTGCTCCCTTCTGGGGCGACATCCTCCAGTCCAACTCAAACGGCGCGTACTTTGGTCTCGCGCTTGAGATCGCCAATCGGGACGAGTGGGGATACATCGATTTCGGGAAGATGATCGGCCTAGACGGTATCGCTCTCGTCAACATTGTGTCCAACCCCGCAGATGCAACGCTTTCAGGCCAGAAACAGCTACAGAGTCGAATCGCGCATAACATTGGTACGCAGTTCCTTCTCCAATAAGCTCATTGACTAATTTGAAACAGGAAGTACACGGAGGCCATTGACACCGCCAGTTGTAGACTAGCAAGGGAACAACCAGGGTACAGTACGTGCTGCCTATTTCTCGTTAGACATGTATCTGATCTTTTCTCCCTACAGAAGTGCGCCCTTCACATTCACTGCTACACTGAGCGGACAGAACCACGAGCCACGTATAGCAGTCCTTCGATTATTGGAGTGCTCATGGCGGTCGGAAACATTGGCGAGACGTTGCCAGTGGCTCTATATACCGAAAGGTCCTCAGCCGCGACGTTGGCTTCACACGGCAGGAAGTCCATAAGGACGCCCATGTATGGGAGTTTGGAGACTCCGGATCTATTCTTGTTCTCACTGACGACGAAGAACCTACCGACCACACCTTCAGTAGAGACGAAGGTCTGACTTGGCGAGATTACAAGATCACGGAGAAGATGAACTCCTGGTCTATCGTCACTTTTCCTTCCGACCCGAGTCAAAGGTTCATTCTATTCGGAAGTTTCATGTATGTACAGCCTGTGCAATCGTGGTCCATATTGACTTCAGGCTAGTGACTTGAAGAAAATGTTCGCGGCTCGATTCGTTTCCTACGCTAACTTCTCTTCCTTAGGCGATGTTAGCGCCGCGGTTGTCGCTATTCGTTCTTTCGAATTCACGCGCTGTATCTCCGTCGTATTACTTACGCGATGGTTTTAGCAACAACCACCTTTCTGGAGATTGAGCATGGCTTGCGTACGGTGGGGACACACTTGGTTCGCGGTCTGCATTGCAGCCTGAGGTATCGCCCGGGAATGGGTTATATGTCATGGGTAGCTTCTAACACCTGGTGCAAGAAGGGGGTATGGGAACTTGCCGATAGATGACGATGAACAGGTACTGACGAAGGAGACCCGTCACCACGGCGCCTGCCAAATGGAATGCAATGGGACAGTAATAAGTTGATATAGAATGAACATCAATAACCCTACCTTAATTATTCTGTCTTTCGACAGTCGAGCAATAAACTGATTAAGATATAGGATGAATTATTCTTTGTTGTATTGACAATTGTCCGAATGATGGAGGGGAAGCTCCTCGCCAACCGCGTTGTAAACCTTGCTGGCTTCACTGAAGCAACGTCACAATGATACCGAGAACGAGTGGCGCATTATGTTCGTTATGTGCTAACGAAGACTGGGTTCACACCTCTCAACGAAAACAACAAGAAATTATCAAGTAACTACAGATACAAATGTACAATGGTCAGGATCCGAGAACCGCGGAATCTACTCATCCTCATCGCTGTCCATATCCTCGTCACTATCACTATCCTCTCCTTCGAGAGCCTCTGTGGGTTTGAGGCCAATGTCGCGGTCAGCACCGACGTAAGAATCACAGATGACGTAGAGCTTCAGTGAGTGAGAGCCCTTCGACAACATAAACTCAAGCTTGACGGCAAGACTCTTCACCACCGTGACTCGCTTGATGACGAGGAGCTGGCGGGAGGCAGGGTCTCCGACAACGAGCCACCAATTCGCCAACTTCTTCAGGGGATAGAATGGTGCCACAACGTTTTGGTCACCCTCGTCCTCTTCGTCTGCGTCACGTGCCAGCAATACTGGAGGATGATGGGCGCGCCTGCAGTGTATTCTCCTTTCACGAGCTCAGGAGAGATATCCAGGGTGGGGTAGGAGTTGACAAAGGTCGCGACGTCTTGCCTGAAATGATGTGAGCTTCGATCGTAGGAAAAGGATCGTGGTTCTTACATTTGGGCGGGCGTATCTGAACTTCTGAAGCAACTCGTTTCTACGATCATCCTCGAGCTCCACGATGTCATAGACGGTTTCGACGCCAGCGTCCTTACAACGCTTGATATCCTGAAGCGATCGTAACTTGTGAGCGAAAAAAGTCCTACAGCGTGGATTGGCTTATCTCAACCTCAAAGTGAGGGATCTGTTTCAGAGGTGAATCCGTCTCCCACATGGGCTTGTACGTCTAAGATAGACCCAAAGCGCTTAGCCGAGCGCTAGACAACATCGCATCGACGCTGGCCGACAAAAGGTTGAGTACTTTTTCAAGAACGAGAACCTGGTCAGCCGCCAGGTCAGGCGACGGTTGCAACCGCGAGAAGTGGACTTGAAGGAGCAAGAACGTCTTGAAGTGGGGGGCCTCGAAGTCGGCCCGCTCTAGTTTCACAGGGACGCGGTCGTAGACACCACGAAGAAGGGCATCTTCGTGTCTCCGAATCGGGGTAGTTTCGAATTCGGCTGATGACGACACAACCTCGAGCAGGCCTTTCAGCTTCGTATGCTCTGTCAGAGACAAGGTGTGCACCTCAACCGTCAGATCTAACCAGCGGATAAGCGATTGGCTGACTGCTAGGGGACGGGCGCTCACATGAAATATTATATTAGGCAGCGATCATTCCCACAGACAAGTCCATTTCGTCCTCTGCAGAAAGAATTAAGAGAAAAGGAGAGACGTACCGATTGCGATACATTTTGAATTCACAAGGTCACTTAATGCGCTCTCAACAAGCTCTGAAAGATGGTCGGATAGATGCTGACGGCTAACAATCTGTAGATTGTAGTAGTTCGGGTTTTGGGTCCTTCGGCGGTAGAAGGATCTCCAAGTCAGAATATCCTGAGAGGTAAAACGTAAACACAATAAAGGAACATAAACGGGAATCGTATGCGCTTACCGCAGCATCTTGCTTGTTCCCTCATAGAACTGTACACCCATAATGATCGCCATGTAACTGGCCGCTGGCAAGCTCCAAGCCGCGTCCATCGACGCAACAAGTAACTGGATCGCCCCTGACTCGAAAACGATGCTTTTGTCCTGCTTATCGAGAGCCTCGTAGTACCCAATGCCGTGTTTCAGCGTTTCAACGAGGCCCTTGTCGTTGATGTGGCCCAGATGCGGTTGTAAGTCGTCAAGCTCGATGTTGAGGAATCGGAATCGATCAGGTTAATTGTCCGCTAGGCAGTGAGTCAGAAGGTCGTCGACTGTAAGTCGGCACTGTCGCCTGGAGGGGACAAAAACGATGACGGTTTCGAGGGAGAGTACTCCAGAACGGCAAGGTAGGCAGGCTTTAACATGGCGATCGTTAGAGAGGGGAAATGGGGGACGGTGAAAGACTGAAGATGTATATCCATATCGAGAGGACGGGCACTAGTAACAACATCAGTAAGCAGCTTTTGGGGAGCAATAGAAGGCGAATACCTAGGTGAGAAATTGAAGATCGCGTGAGAGGGTGCACCCATCCGCTCGCCCAGATCTCAGGCGTTCGCGAGAGAGACTCCGCAAGCGACTATGCACGTCTTGATTTCTGTCTGGGCCCAGTCATAACGCGTGCGAGAAACGACGACCTCAAAGGCGGGTCCCACTTCACCGCCGACCCACTGCCCCTCATCGGCAATGAGAAGGCCGATGTTTTGGGTGTTTTTGCGTTGTTGCCGCCGTCGTGAAAGGACGTTCCACTGTAAAAAGTGAGAAAAAGACCGAATAAAGAAGTGGAAAGACCTGGCGAACCTGGGTAGGTGTCCAGACAATGACATCTCCTTTCTCCAGAAGCCTCAGATCAGCGCTTGTCTCCCCTGTGAGACTAACAATCTCCTTCCCCCCTTAAAGCTTTTCGAACTTTGCCCGCCATTCCAGAACTCGCTGATCAACCACTTCTTGATATGGTTCGATACAAACCGCTCTGGGTTGTTTTCTCTTACTCCCAAGACGAAGGAGAGCAAATTCTGCGCCAACAGTCTCGCCGCTACCAGTAGGCGCACCGATAAAGACGTTTTCGTCTGTCGTATAGAGAGCTCTGAAAACCTGGTTTTGGATCTTGTTAAAGGTCTGGATCGTCGGGGAGTAAATGGCTTCGAATTCTTTGTTGTGCAGGGCGGAGAGAGGTAGAGGCTGTAGGTCGAGGAGCGGAGTAGGAGGGGGGAACTTTTTGGGCAAGAAAAGATGTTTGAAAGATGTAGGAAGCCGAGTTTCGGCTGGAAGCCAGCGATCCGAGAGGATGGAGATGTAGTAGTTGCCTGGGACAGGTTCGAAAATGGGCACAGTCAGCGTAACGCTGTGCTCATCTTCCGCGTATCGTGGACGAAGGATGAACGAGCCATGGAAGAGGATCACCTCGCCATCCACATCTTCCACCACGATAAGGAAGGTCTCCGCCGTACCGTGGACTTTTTCATCCCAAGGTAAGATAGAAAGATCGATCCGAAGGAGTGACCGAGTGAAGGTGGGACTTGCGCTGGGAGCCTATAGAAAGTTCGTCAATGAGACACCCCAAAAAGTCAGACATCAACAAAAACTCACTGAAGCTGCGGGAAGCTACGAACGAGACGGTGCACTAGCCGTCCAGCGTTAAGAATTCCGATAAGCTCATCAATTTCAGGAGGGGTCTAAAGAACTTTGAGCAACGCAGCTAGAATTGAAGTTGAGAAAACATACCAGATCGAAGTAGCGATACCAAGGCTATGAAAGATGTGCATTGTCAGCAACGAAACGACAGGGAGATAAACGTCACTCACGAATTGTTTGCCTTCTGCCTTTCTTATCACTTCAGCAGGCCCGACGCCCTTGAATTGACGAAGAGGCGTCATTGAACCCCACCTAATATACTTGTGAGCATGGCTAGCTTCGACAACCACAATAACTTACATCCTCTTCTCAACCACCTCGCAAAGGTCGAGGGCTGCCTTAGCAGGTACAGCCCAGCCGCGTTTCAAACAAATCTCGAACAAGGTCCTCAAATACTAGAATAGAAGCAAGATAGTGAGGACAGGTCGAGGGAAGTTGTTAATTGGTACACACCGCCCCGCAGATTGCTGCACAAAGACCACGTCAGCGAGGACAAACCCTAGACGGCCTTTGTTGTTATTCCTGAGATGGATAGCCGTGGCAACGCTTACCATCGAGCTTGAGTTGAGATATGTACGCTCGCAGAAGTACGTTGATTTTGGCCGCAGGTTCTTCCATGTCCGGATCAGCCATAGATTCGTCTTCAGCGTTGTAATCCGTAATCTTCTTCGAAAGGTCGACGAGCTGCGAGAACTGCTCGCTCGGAATGAGACCAATGACCTCCTCGATCTCCTCGATCTCCTTCTTTTTGTCAAAGTTCTTCATCCCCTCGTTTTTGAATGTCTTGCGCCTGGTCTTTTGAACGGAGGAAAGAAAAATTGCTGAAACAAAAATAATCATTAAAATAACACAAAAAGATAATGCAAAATACTCTTTCCCTCCAAACCCTATCACGACAACGCTCAAAGGCTCAGGCTATCAGTTTCCAGAAAACTATCGGCTATTTTTGAAGCCAAAGAATCTGCCTCTGGACTATATTCAAATTATTTGCCCTGAATTTTTGATGACCCACTGGGTGGAAACTCGGATGCCGAGACACCGCTGACCTTGTCTGCAGAGTTTCCGAAACAACTACCTCGGAATTTTATGCTTGTCAAGAAACTCTTCGCTCGCTTTTGTAAAGGCTCCAGCGCTGCCCCGTTATCTAATGAAAGAAACCGAAGTCGCATACACTCAAAAGGGCGAAGGGAAAGGCAGAAGTCGCCCCAAGCGCGCTGAGGAAGAATTCGAAATTCTTGACATCACAGATGGTCCGGAAGGTTGTACCTCTACCCTTGTTTCAGCTGAAGTGGTGAAACTCGATGAAGCGCTTCAACCGCACCCAAGCTACGAGGCATGCACGCCCCTCATGCGAAGCATTTCCGTTGGCGAAGATCCCGCTCTCAGATGACCCAGAGTTCGACTTTATGTCGCACAATGAACAATACAAGTTTTTCTTGTGGCAAACACCCCATCGCGATTACTTGACCGACGTAGTGGTGTTGTTGAATGGGGGAATCACGGCGCCCTGGAGCTAGCAATCTTCTGGGACATTCGCGGAGAAGGAGGGGTACTCGAGTTGAGAGCTGGGTGAAGCCCATCGCGACGTTGCCTACGAAGCATAATGAGGAGAATGGCCACTGCGAAGTTGTGCCGAGGACCTGGAGAGGTTGGGTTAGAGTCAATCGGGGATTCATCAAGATTGCTTACGGTGGATATTGGAGCTCGATAGGCACGATGTTGGCGAACCCATACGTCTGTCCCTTCCTCTTCCCTCCTTTTCACTCTGTTCTTCTGAATGCGCAAAAAGGATGTGCGGAATGTTGGTACGTCCAGTTTCGTTGTTCTGTAAACGATTCCCCTGACGACTTGCGGCATCTTAAAATTTTGGTTCATTCCCTCTCCTCTCTTCCCTCTTCTCCGAGTCTGCCCTCTTCTCTGTCCTTGGGTAGAACGTTACTGACGTTTTTTTGAAAAAAAAGGTACTCGTACGTGCCCCCCATCCGCCCTCCATCCTCACAAACCGAGCCGGACGGAATAGACATCCACCCAGAGGCGTGGGATTGGTACAACGAACACGTCGGTAAGAGGCAGTGCGCGGTTGTGGATACCTTCTGGTAAGTTGTACACATTCTGTGAGGTCCACTGATGCTGAATGCTCACAGGCAAACGGAGACTGGGTCGATCGCCGTCACGCCGTTCCCTGGTACCATCACAAGCCCGGCTCCGCGACTGTCCTCTTCTTCGGCATTTAGCCTGCCGTTCTCGATCTTGTTACAGGCAAGGAGTTGGAAGGTAATAACGTTGAAGGAGTTCTTGTTCTCAAGACGCCGTGGCCATCCTTTGCCCGTACGATCTACGAAGACCTTACACGATACCTCGAGACCTACATCAATGTATGTTTCTCCTTTTTGACTTCTGACTTTGCGAACGAGCGCGGATACATCTGGATCAAGGGCCGAGTTGACGGTGGGTCATCTATCCCTTTTCCCAGTTACTTGCGCTCATACCTTTCGAAAACGTTATCAACGTATCTGGCCGTCGTTTGTCTACTGCCAAGATCGAGTCGGCGCTTATCATGCACAAGGGCGTCGCTGAAACTGCCAGTGAGTTATCAAAATATCATTCCATGCTAATGCTCAACGTCGTACCCCGTAGTCATCGGAACCCCTGACGAATTGACTGGACAAGCTGTCTTCGCCTTCGTTTCCTTGAAACCGTGAGTATCGTTTATCCCCAACGCGAGGCGGGTATTCCCAGCCCACGGTGAATACAGATACGATCCCAACGACGAATCTGGCTTGGTCAAGGAGCTTGTGCTCCAGGTGCGCAAGGTAAATGGACCGTTCGCGGCTCCGAAGAAGGTTAGCGGCCTACCCAAGACGCGTTCTGGAAAGGTGCGTGTTGCTTGAAGGCGCATTGAGTGAAGCTGACGTATTTCCTTGAAGATCATGCGTAGGATTCTGAAGAAGATTGTCGCGGGAGAGGGCGATCAGCTGGGTGATCTTGGCACTGTCGCTGAGCCTGCTAGGGTGGAGGTCGTTAAGAAAAGGGTGGCAGGATTGTAACGAACTATAGAACTGCTTGTGTATTTTCAATAAGACTTGACTGAACGAAAGTGTTCCCATTTCTCTGGTACCATCCCTTAGTTAAATTGAAGAGCATCCTTCACAATGACATTGCGTTTCTAAACTAATGACTGGCACCAATGTCTTCCTTTCCCCCTACTGTAGCCCTCAACTTCTTTCTTTTCCGCCTTGCTTTATATGCTTCCTGTTTTGACCCACCCTCCGAATCTTCGCTCTCAATCTTCGATTTAGCCTCCCGAGAGCCCTCCCCAACGCAGTCTCTACAAGGACACCGACCCCCAGGCAGATCCTCGAAATACGTGTCTCCATAATTGACGAAAATTTCTTCCCCAGATTTGATTGCTTTTGTGGTTTGAACGACAAACGCCAACTTTGATTTGACGGCGACGTACTGCGGTATTCTGTAAGGGCATGAAATCCAGACGACAAATTACTCACTTCGGCGTTGTAAGAACGACACGCGTGGTTGATGAATCTGATCGGTCCTATAAGAATGCGCGGCTTTTCAGCATTTGCTTTGTTGTGGAGTTGGGAGGGGTGCGGTTCAATTTCAGACAGCCGAGAGTGTTCCGCCTTTGCATCGTCGGGCATCAAACCCATGAGTGAGTAGAGCACTTCATGCTGAACCAAATCCCTTGTAGACGTGATGGAAAAACCACGCTCGTTGCCGCCCGCAAACAACCTTACCCTTAACCGCACTCCCGACTCTGGATTGCTGACGATGTAGCCGTAGGCGATTGAACACCTAGCCAGACACCTGTAAGACTGAACGTTCTTTACGTTGTGCAACTCACCAGGTGATAACCAAGGCATGCGCCCGGCTAGCAACCAATTCTGGGTATGCAGCCTTGATTTCTTTGTGCATTGTCTTCCCAAAATCGATGGCATTCTGAAAGTTGCAGTGCACAAGCGTCCCCTTGTTCTTCTCGAAAATGGTTTGTAACCCTTTGGCGGTCGCAGAGTCCAATTTGAATGCAGCGTCTGGGTGGAGCTGCTGAACGTGATGAGTTCGAGAAGCTTTTTTTCGTTTTTGTTGCTGGAAAATGGAGGTGATGAGCCAGGAATCAATCTCCACGACCTTGTCCGAGTCTAGCTTGAAGGTCGAAAGGTAGTCAGCCACTTCGTACTCGTCAGTTGCAGTCGCACCCCATTCCGTATGGGGCGGCATTGTGACAGTCAAGAGCACAGGAACGGGCGAACAGTAACAAGTAATGCGGCATGGGAGTTTTCCGAAATTTACATAAAAATGAGCTACTAAATACATATAGCGTATTCAAGGGTTAGTTTGGGATAGCCTCCCTGTCATTCCAGCCCGATACCTCGCTGATCCAATAGCTGAAAGAGCTATGGATCCCTACTTGGCGTTTGACGGCGGCGGGAGGAAGCCATTGAAGGACTGTGCACATAAGCTGCCAATGGCCTGTGCGGCAGAGCGGGGAGGAGTGGGTCGACAAGATGAGGAAATCGCTGATGCTGTCTTCCGTGAATATGTAGTTTTACACAACTGTCTATCCGACTGTAACGGCTCGTGTCGACATGCCACAAGTGTCAGGTCAAGTTCGTGGATGTCGAATAGATGTTGAGACGTGCTTCAATTAAGGAACCCCCACGGAGCGAAGATACCTTGCTGGATTTCTGGTTGGATGCATAAAGGGTTCGCTCAAGGTGTGCGTAGCCGTCCCTGAGCTCATCGCGTCTCCGTTGTTCCGATAAAATGCTTGGTTGCGAATGGTCCCACGGCACCTAAGAAATGATGGGTAAGATTAAGCGAAATGGAATGAAAGTTAAACCTACGAATTGGCACCTCCAGCTGAGAGGTTGGCGGGCTAAAAGTCGTCGTCGTCTCCGTCCCTATCGTCGTTACTCCTGCTCCATCCCCGCCTGTGAGCCCTGACGCTGCCCCGAGTCGTGGGTGCGACGATCGGATTGAAGCGATGCGACCTGGGAATGATGTGGGGGGGGCGGTGGGTGCCATCTGCTCCGACGACTATGTCTGCCAGGGCCCATGCCATCAAACAACTCACCAGCGCTCAAGGGGTAAGTGAGCGATGGAGGGGAAATGGCAGCGCTATCGGGGCGTAAGGATGGGCAGGGGAAGAGGCGCCGAAAGCAGGCGATGAGTATGTGCAATCTCCGAGACCGCTACAGACGTTCAAAGAGTTAAACGCCTGAGGGGACGGGGGAACTGATGAAAACAAAGTCAGACGCAAAGTAACAATGTGAAGTGGGCGTAAACCTGACGATCAATATTCAATGGTTACACCTTAAGGAGGAGATTGAGGAGGATACTGGAGATGGTCGAGAGCACTGTCCATGTAGGAGAACGAAGCGTCGAGTGGCTCCACGTAGGAAGGGTTCTTGTTGCGATCGAAATGCATGGAAACGGAATTTGACAGTGGCAATCGGGTGAGAGAGATAAGGGCACACTGGCCAGAATTCACGAAAGTTCATAGGATAGGGATGGAGTCACACCAGAGCCCTCACAAGAACCGACGCAAACGGGGCCAGGTATATCGACAATAAAGAAAGGGTTTGACGCGTTGGAAACTTGGATCGCGATCAAACCATTTTAAAATTTAAGTCCGCGCACCAAACACAAGCTAACATTGCAGTGCAATGACGCAGTGCCAGACTGAAGTCGGAAATACTCGTATCCTTTATATTACTGATGCCACGAGCTACTTTTGTAAATCTACAAGGTTTGTTTCAAGCCCTCATGCTATTAGCTGCGCATGTAGGCTTTAGATTAGGAAGGCATCTTATCCCAATTGACATCTTGTCAGATATGTCGCTGAGATGAGGAATGAGGTCAATTACCGTCGTTCGTAATGGATTCTCTTGCGATCCCAGCTATGGCTGGCTGTGCGCTACATGATTGAAGGCGTAGGATGGCCTGAAGTGAACTTTGATACTCACGCACACATCGCTTGCTTGACGGATAGTTGTGGGTTGGAAGGGCTTCCTGTTCGGGGTCGGAATAGAAGGCATCTCCGCGTTAACAGACGAGCATTTGAATAAAGATCCTATTGAGGAGTTGAATGACAGACAATAACTATGGGACCAAGTTCATAACCATCTACGCAGCTCTCCATTCTCCGCACTCTCTTGCATGGTGTCCAAACCACCCAACGACTCGCCGTCGATGACCAGCTGCGGGAATGTCGGCCAGTCATTCACTCCTTCAGACCTAAATCCGGTCGTCAAGGTAACTCAACGCCCTTATCCTTCAACAACTCTACGAGAGGAGAAGGGACGGCGGGGGCTGGGGGTGAACGGGGGCCTGGGTTGTAGGATGGCCCAGCGGTGCGCTTCTTTGACGGACTTTGTGAGCGCCGCTGCGTCGGCGCCTGCCACTCGATCGAGGAGATGTCCCTACAGTTGACTTGTGAGCTAGAAATGAAGAAAGTAAGACTGTGAAACGTAGCGATGACTCATGTACGTTGGAACAGCCTCGATAAGGAAAGATTCTGCGATGTCAGCCTGTTCCTCTGCCTCAAGGAGGGAATTTGAGGAGGTTACTGGAGACGGTCGAGAGCACTATTCATGCAGCAGGATGAAGGGTCGAGTGGCTCCTTGTAGGAAGGGTTCTTGTTGTGATTGAAATGCATGCAAACGGGCTACGACAGTGGCAATGGGGTGAGAGAGATAAGGGCGCTGGCTACAATTCACGAAAGTTCATAGGATAGGGATGGAGTCACACCAGAGCCCTCACAAGAACCGACGCGAAAGGGGAAATGGACAAGGACGTTGAAGAGAAAGTTAACAAACGTCGTTGAACCGGAAGAAGTATTAAATCAACAAAACCATCATGTGACCTCACGTGCAATTACGGTGTCCCTGGCTCGTAGAATGTGGGCATGTGAGGCTCACGACCCATGCGCTTCCCCGTCTCCCGAATTGACTAGCTGACAACGTACTGGTCGCAACGATATCCAGCGTGCCGATTTCATGGACCGGATTGCGGATTAGAGTCAGAGGTGGATGAAGAGGATGTGGAGGACGTGCAGAAGATGTGCGGAGTAGCGGTGACGGTCGGATTCCCAACCTCACTGTCAGCAGAAACGGTCCCTATTTGCCTCACCTTACCTTCCGCTTATTCTGACTTTGTGGACTACGCAACCAGTTGGATATGGTCGTAGATAAAATTTGTACTAGAAACTAAAACTAAATGCCATTCTACTTATCCAAAGTCATCTAAGATGATAGCCCAATAACGTCCTCTTGTTTCCCGTTGTCTCGCGACAAAAGAGGACTTCAAGTTGAATTTTCGGACGTAAGCTTCGCCTTCTTCACTGTACGGTGCGCCTTGCGTATCAGCCAGGATTTCAATACTTGATCAAAGGCATCTCCTCGGAGTCGGACTTGAAACTCAAGGGATGTTTCCGAACGCTCTTTGCCGGTTATTTCCTGAGGCTGGTTCCTACTTACCCACTATGTTTTCTCTTTACTTATTCTTTTTCAAGTCATCTTATGTTTTTATTTCTTCTGGTTCAGTTGTCGGCGCAAGTCATTATACACTAAATGAACAATAGGCAAAAAAGGAACCGACTACAATTGGTGGAGCCAAGTGGAAGGGCTGTTGCGGCGGTAAAGCGAGCTCACGGACTGGCGTGAATCAATGTATTCGCAAACCCAGTCGAAGCCTGTCAGAGCCTGCTGGAAAGTCAGCAGCGGCTCGCTCGCTGGCACTCAAAGAAGCGTCAGGCGAGGCGGGCAGGACGCAGTCCAGCAAATTTCGCAAGTATGAACTCGCGGAATGTAGACAGGTCCTCCCACCAGAGGACTGGGGGGTGCCGAGACAAGACCAGTAAGGCCCAACAGACTGGGTACGGGTGAGGAAGGCGCACGCGGGCCTAGGAGAAGTCGGGGAGGCCAAACGGACAAGCGACAAAGGTGCACGCGAAAGCTTCAAAACGGAGTGGGAGGTGAGAAAGTTGGAGAAGCCGAGGCACGGCAGAGGCAGAGTGTTTTCCCCCAGGCGGCGAGGAGGCGGAAAACGAGAGGAACACGGGCGAAGCGGCGCCCACGTCAACGGCGGAGACCGAGATACAGAGGTCCTCGAGCCGGTATTTGAAAGGGTGCATTCTGAGTTTCGCAGACAACACGTTGAAAGAGGGAGAGTGACTGAACTTGAACCAAGCAAGCATAATTTCACTACAAGACTCTGAAGAAGACTTCTAAGAGAATAGACAGATAAAAACGCACCAATTAAATGCTTCAAGACTTGCGAGGAGAGGAGCAGTGGCCCTCTACTTGCTGCTGGGAGGAGAAGACAGTGTCCACACCCTCCAGGTCACAAGGTAAGACCAGAATAACGCAAGCGGCGTGCGGCAGACCATCCAACCAAAAACCAGCAGTAGCAACACGCCTTGGCGCTGCCCTCGGAGAGAGCTCTGGAGAAAGACAAATGCAGCGTTGCAGCTGGCATGAATCACGTGACTTCGAATTCTGATTCACGCGACAATTCTCGTCAAATTCTCGTCATTGTAGAGGGACCCGCCGTAGAAAGAACAGAGAATGGTGTTTAATTAGGTGCAATACAAAGCATATGTATCGACAATTGAACCAGAAAAAGTTGAAACGTAAGGTGAGAACATAAAAGGCGAAAAACACAAGTAAAGAGAAAACATAGAATGTACAGTGTACTTGGACAAACAGTTGGAACCAGAACCGGCAAAGAGCATTGGGTCCCTTGAGTTTGAAGTCCGACTCCGAGGACATGCCTTTGATCGAATACTGAAATCCTGGCTGATACGCAAGGCGCACCGTAGTACTCTCACACTCTCGGACCTAACTCCGCACAACGATTCTAATACCGATCTCTTTCCTTCCAGTCTAGTAACTACCGGTGGTACCTACGTCGACTTCTTCCTAGTCTCTCGCCCTATCTAAGGAATAGGACGGATCCTAACAGAATATCAAGGATCACCCACCCACTGATACAACGGCTGGAACTTATACTACTCAAGAAACTTCGCATAACCAACCCCGAGAATCTCTCGAATCTCGTCTAAACATATCCTCTGCACCCATCTCCTACCCCACCCTCTCTGAACCAGTAAATCCTCCAAATTCCCCCCAATCCGAACACTCCTTCTATGCGAATCCCTCCTCCCAAACAACGATAACCTCTACCATCCTAGTACCAGGGCAAGTCAGAGGATCATTCCATTCCGCTCCCCCCTCAGGAACCGTTTTTTCCGCAAATCAACCCGAGAGATCGTACTTGCAACCTCCGCCGTGGAACAATCCCCGCGCCGAAAACTCACAAAGTCAAATTATCTCCGAGAATCCTCCCCCACAGTACGGAGATAATAACCAACCTCAGCAATCTCTTGTATTCAACAAGAATGCACTCAGGGGAACTAGGTTACGGAAACCTGGATCGAAGAACCTCCTTCGAAATTTTCAGAATCCTACGGAGCATCGTACGGTCGTACGAAGAAGGAAACCTCCCCCATTCGGTACTCGCACGAATCGAACTACCTGGCATGTGGGACTACACCAGAGAACTCCATAATCGTTGGCTACAAGATTCGGGAATGCAACAGTTCAATGTCCCAAGCCCACGAACAAACCCCCCGTCCACCAACCCGCCTAAACCTCCTAAATCCCCACCTAACGATCCCACCCCCAAAGAAAACCACCGACCACCAAAGACACCTCCAGACAACGATCCCACGGAACCACTTCCTTCACCGCACGATACCCAACAAAACCCCGAAATTGATATCAAAATTATCGGCGCAGCACCCTTCGCCAGACTCATCCGCGACGGAATAGAAGTTTATCAACTCCACATTTCCCCAGTCCCCACGAAACCTTGCGTGCCGAGCAGACACAAGATCCCAGTCAGAAGAAATCGGAACAAGAAATTCTTGTTGAAGTAGTCCCTCCGGAGTACCATGAATTCACCAGCGTTTTCTCGGAAGGAGAAGCAAAAACCCTACCCCCTCACCGACCATATGACCACAAAATCGACCTTGAAGACGGGGTAGAACCGCCGTTTGGGAAAATTTATAACATGTCTGAGAAAGAACTAGGTCTACTCAAAGACTACATTGACGATATGTTAGGAAAAGGCTTCATACGAGCCACGGGAGTCTCACCATTCTTCGCGAACAAAGGATTCCACCCCCGACTATCTATCTCCTTCGATAACATTCCATCACACGAAGCGAGACTCGTCGCCACAGATTTGAAAGACCTACACAACCATTTGAAACAAGAGATCAAAACTGCCAACGAGGCCTACCAAAAATTCGCAAATATCAAACGCGATCCAACTCCAGATTGGCCCATCGGAGCTATGGTTTGGTTACGAACGGAGAACATCAAAACAAAACGACCATCAGCGAAGCTCGACCACCGGATGTTGGGACCATTTAAAGTCATCCAAAAAGTATCCACCCATGCCTATAAACTCGCCCTACCCCCTTCCATGAGCCGACTTCGGAATACTTTCCCCGACGAAAAAATCCACCCCCTCCACCCATCGAAATCGAAGGAGAGAACAATATGAAGTGGAAGACATTCTCGACTCCTGCATCCACAGAGGGAAACTGCAATACCGCGTTCGATGGGTAGGACACGGACCCCAAGAAGACACTTGGGAACCAGAAGCACACGTTACCAACTCCGAACTTCTAGTTCGCCGATTCCACGCCGCTTATCCTACAAAACCAAGTCCGACGGAGAAAATCGCAACCAACTCATAACGAACGGCGAAGAACTATTTTTCAAAACACGATAACAAGACTACGACAACTACGAAAACAAAGCAAAAAACAAGAAAACAAAAAACCTCTATACCTCCGGACCACGGTGCCGCTTACGCCTATCCTCCAAACCCTCTCCCAATTCCTCTGCAACCCGCTTCACGCCTCCACGCTCTCCCTTCTTCAAAACTCCCAGTACCTGCTCAAATCTCGCCAGTAACGACAACGACACCTCTACGCCGGACAGCAACAGTGCCCGCGTCAAGTCTTCTCCTGCCCTCGCCTTCGCTGCACCATAGTACTCCGCCGCCTTGGCCGGTTCTCGGCTTGCACCCTCCAGCAACATCCACACACGAGTGTTAGTCGAACGGAAGGCCTCGAGATGTTCTCGCAGCTCGGCGTTGTGACCCCGGAGCGCCGTCAAAAGGGACAAAATTGCTGAAAAAAACAAAAGAGCGTCAGAGAAAAATGGGATCAGAAGAAGTTAAGCACTCACCAGCGCCATCCTCCGCCAAAACTTTGTCGACCTCATCGGCACCATCTACGCCCGACACTCCGGCGCCAGACCCTTTCGTAAATAACTCGAATTCCCGCATTCTAACCTTCATCGCTTCTCTCGACTCCTTGAAACCTCGCATCTGCTCCTCCCAGAGGGACCGACCCGCCTCTGTTTCCTGCTCAACCACCCTCAATTTCTCCTCCAACTCCACACGTTGAACCTCCCATTCCCTTCCTATAGCCGCAAACTTTCCCTCGCTTTCCTCCCTCAACTTCAAAAACTCCTCCCTCTCTCTCTCGAGTTCTTCCTTGTCCGACTTCAATACTTCAACTTCTTCCCTCCACAACTCCGCGTCCTTCGCCGCAAGTCTCAAATTATCCAACTCCGCCGCCTGTTTTGCGAAGTTCGACTTCTCCACCAAAAAGTCCATCGCTTCCGTCTTCAACTTTTGTACCTCCGCCTCCGCTTCCAAGTGCTTGCGCTTGTAATAATCCCGCCGATCCTCGATGTGACTGGAGTGCGCCTTCTCCTTGGCCAACTCTTCCTCCAAGGTCTTGATCCGCTTCCTCAGTACCACCGCCGAGAACTGAGGCCCCCGGGACGACCCCGCCGAAGGAGTTACCGCCTTGCGAGATAGACCAGGAGTCATCCTCGCACCAGGTGTCATCATCGCAGAACCAGAGGGCCGCTCAGACCCACTATCCTCTTCATCATCCTCCTCCTCCTCCCCACCAACATCAACGGCAGAAATCGGGCGTTCCTTTCCCTTTCCCTTGCTCTTCGCCAATGACACTTCCTCTTCCTCTTCCTCCTCCTCGTCACCACGCGCCGCGGACGTTTTCCTGCCTTTACTCTGCGCCGGTGATACTCCAGCTTGTTCCTCCTCGTCGTCACCACGCGCCGAAGACGTTCGACCCTTCGCAGATTGCTTCTCCTCCTCCTCGCCTTCATCCTCCTCTTCGTCGTCAGTCCCAACTTTTCGCTTCGACACCGCTCTCCGAACCTCCTTCTCTTCCAACACCACAAACTTGTTCTCCTTCTTCTTCGCGATAGTGGGGTACCAGGTCATAAAATCGGCCTTCGCCACAGCGTGCCCTTCCGCCGCCCAAACATCCTGGAACTTCTCGAACAAATACATTACCACCCTGTCGCACTTGATCTTCAATATTGCGCACTGGTGGCATCCGACCTTGTCCGTACGCTCCCCGGTTTTCGGCTCGCAAAGAACCTCCTTTGACATGCAACTACTGCATTTCTGAAAAAAAAGAGAAATTAGTCATAAAAAAGCGCAACTACACGCAATCCACTCACCACTTTCACCCCGAATGCCTCATGTGTCTTTGCCTTCGCCAACCTCGCCACCTCCTGCTTGCAAGAGCAGAAGATCAACCTTACAAGCTTCGCCGACCACACCTCCTTCCCACCCTCGGTAACCGCACGACACGACTTCACTTGGAGTTTCTGGGCCATCGCGTTCCAACTGGCCTTTTGCTGTTCTCGGGTAAATTGCGCGAGGCGTTGAACCTCCGTTGATCGCTGAACTTGTTCGAATTCGGTATAGAGGAGAAGCTCACGTTCGAGCTCGTTGCTCATACAGAGTGGGAGGAAAAGAGAAGTTCAACAAAAAGCTTAATTGCAACCACGGTCACGTCCTCTTGGGAACTCGGACTTAAAGGGGGGTACTGTCACGATCATCCTCGTGACTCCCTACCTCACATGACCAATCCACGCCAAACTCGCTTCTCGGACTACAACGCCGAACCAACTCCGACCTTGTATTCCGGCAAACCCACGCCGAACACGTGTACGCAACTCCGAGCACGACAACTTCGAATAGAACAAGCGCCTATTGTTCTTCGTCTTGCCAAGTCTCCTATTCCCTACCTTGGCAACCCTCTTCACAATAAGTCCCCACTCCGACTCCACGTTTCTCTACTTGTCGTCTCCTTCTCCGCGACATTTCCTCATGATCCTTATTCCCTTTATTGTCTTACCTTGTACCGATATTACCGAACCCTCCTCGCATGTAGCAAGTAACCTCATCCTTGATATTAAAGTTAACATCTGCCTTATTCCTTCGTCCTCTCGTCTCAGTCTCTCATCTGCGTTTAATCACTAACTCGCCTCGGACTTCAACTCCGACGCCGAATCCACCTTACGCTGAGTTATCGCGTAACTCCACTACATACGGTGCGCCTTGCGTATCAGCCTAACCCATTTTTTGACGATCCACCTTCTGTAGATAACGACGTCGCTTGACTGCATTTCCTCCTTTCCCTCACCTCGTCCTCACTTTCTCCAGCGCCGACAGATCCAAGACGAACCCGACGAAGGTCACACGTTGAAGCGACGGGAGACGCGACTTCCGAAGCCTCTTCCTTCGCTGCGGCATCCCCAGGGCCCGACAAGCTCTCCGATGGGGTCGGCGGAGGAAAGGGAGGTTAAAGGCCTGGGGGATGTCCAAAGGAAAAGCCGCGTACGGCTGAGTTAATGGCAAGGATACGACGACGGTGAGTTGCGAAGGAGTTGTCCCAATCTCATTGTGGCTCTGAGTAACGAACGACTAGAGTTCAACCCTTCATCTCCGGGTCAGTTCGTACTTCTGGGTCAAGCGAAGTCGACGACTACAAAGTTGGCGTCCACGTGCCAGATCGCCGACTCGAGGTTGGCTTCGAGCTCAAGCGCTCAAGGGTTGTCTTCCTCATCGAAGGACGTCGGACTTCAACGAATCCGTATCAAAGGCTTGCGCATATAACGACCAAGTTCATCCCTCCCCATCGAGGACGTACTACGTAGAGAAACTAGAATTCGCCGCTGGGTCTATGTACAAGAAATCCCGACAGACTTCCCCCTCAAATCGACAGCGTCGACGACCCATGCCCTTTCATTCAATTATCTCCGTACGAGCTTGGATCCCACCGTTGAGGAATCTAATCGTTTACAAGATAACTGACCGCCAACTGAGAGGGCTCTAGGCTGTCTCTGGGATCACCTTCGGAGGGCGGGCGACGCAGCTACTGCGCCTAGGTCAACGACTTCGAATGTGTCCGTGGGTCGACAGTCGCACCTTTCGGTAAACTTGATAGGGATAATCGGTTATATAAAGGGAAAGGGTAGGTCTAGTCCAATTAGGGCGACAAACCGCGGCTCTAGGCAGAACGGCGGATCTACGCAACCTGTAAGCTGCGTCCAATGTCAACTAAACGCAGTCGAGATGAGAATCAGATGTACAGTACGCCCAAGAATGGGAATCGTCGGGCGGTTTGTGCGTAACGGCGCAGGGAACGTTGGGAAGAAGGAAGAAAACGGCGGTGGAGAAATAGTATCAAATAGTCGCCAATTCAGGGTGAGGCCCAGATCAATAGGATCTGAATTTTGGTCGTTACTCAGCTTGAACCGTCGCCAAGGCGGAGAGGGCCCTCGATGAAAAGGCTCAGCAGTTCTGAGCTTCGGTGGGACAGAACGAGCGTATAACCACGCCCTGGGCACAACCAATTGGACAACGGTTGTATGTGAGAGGTTCGCCTGCGGCCCCAGGCGAAGAAAAGTTGCTGAATCCGCGAGCTCGAAGCCGTTAGCATCTCGTTAGCGGGCCGACGCACGAAGGGGTGCGAACGGCGGGGCTGTGCGAGTCGTAGTAATTGGCAGGAACTGTAGGACTCGATAGGAAGCCAGCGTGGCGGTTACTCGGAAAGAGAAGCCCGCCCCTGCCTGGCCGTTTCCCGACTGAGCGACCCGCTGAGAGTTATCGCGTCCTCAGAGAACGCTCGTCTCAGCAGTTCATGCCCGCGGCGAGCATGCCCCCGCGAAGGGGCTTACAGCCGAGAAACGCTGGGCAGGTTGTGGCCTGAGTCAGAGATTTGCGTGAGAAAGTCTTGGAAAAAGAGAAGCTAAACTCCTTTTATGACTCAGCTCTGTACCTCCCCGACTCTTCCCTGCCATGGCCATCACTCGGAAACGCAAAGGGCCAGATAAAGAACCACCTTCGGCAGGTATGAGGTTCCCTCTTTACGCTGATCCGTCGGCTGTCTATTCACTAAATTTACAGTCAACGCGGCCCTCCCTGTAAGTAGGCTTCTTCGCTGCGCTAGGAGGTTCTTACGATGAGTTAGCCTGACGTTCCGGGACAACGGAGGAAACGTCAGAAAAAGGGACAGGGCCTAGATAACGCAAAAAAGGTATGAGGCCATCTTATCTTCACTCCCAACTGCCTCTAAAGGCAGAGAACAGCGTCCTGCTTTGAGGTTGAACCCAGTCAGTGGCTAGTTTCTTCCTTGACTCTTGGGCATTCACAACTCTAGCAGAGTCAGGCTCCCGTGCCCTTGCCGAACATCGATGAATTGAACCCCGCTGTGGGGCGACGAAGGGCCGAAAATCGCTCTTCTGAATCCCAGGAGAAGGCCGTTATAGCTTCCGCCGAAAGGTCCGCCAATCTGTGGTTGAAATACGCTCCCACCTACACTCTCTCCCACGTCGCATTCACCGAGCTTATGGAACGAACCAAAAATTGCGACGAAGACGTTGACCAGGCCAACACTATCATCTCCGGGATGCAGGACCTTGAAGCGGACGCCTGCTCTGCGAAATTTGTGGACAAAACTGGGAAGACCTTGGCTTGCGTCTTTTCCCACAGAACGGAGACCAACGACCAGGCTACAGCGGAAAGAAAAGGCAGGGGGGAAACAGTAAGTCAAGTAATTTTTTGGATGACGCCGCTTAACATGAATACAGACCCTCTACCCTGGACCCCACAAACGGACGCTGAAGGACGTTCAAGCATCTGAGTCTGAAGACCAGCGCTGGGATGGAATTCCTGTAAGTAAGCAGCGTTGACAGTATCTTCGGCCCCTCACTGCCTAATCACAGAGCAACATGCTTCGGAGATATCACCAATGCGCACAAGAACTTCACCAGTTTTTGGCCCCTCATGCCAACGAAAGGGATATCCGGCATCCAAACCAAACCCTTATGGCTTACAGTCTCCAGCCCCCCCCTGATTGCCCTGAGGAATATATTAGGGAAGGCGTGGGGTCAGCTGAGGAGATGGGGGCTGAAAGAACGGGGGTGACGCATCTTGTCCACGCATGGCATCAACAAGGCCATCCTGTTTGTATCCTAAATTTCCTGACTGCGGGGGTGCTAACCCCATTTCAATTAGAATGATCCCATGACCCATTCGCGGGACATGGCTGGGAGGGGGACATGCAAAGGGCAAATGGCCGTTTCAAGATATTTCCAGGGCAGTAGATCCGTCGCCTTATACCTCAGCGAATGCTTCAAGGTCGCCTTCCCCAATTACTATTTCCAATACCAGGCCGCCTTTGAAGCTGGTGCCTGGACAACGGAGGACCCTGGGCCTTGGCTGGGGAGGGCAATTGTTTGGAAGTTGCCAGTTGAGACCCATGTGGACGGCTTAGACGATGGTCCCACCGCAATTTTCAATTGTGGCCGATATAGAGGAGGAGAGCTGTACTTGCCGGACCTCAAGGTTAAACTTGAGTAAGTGGCTGCTGCGTATTTCTCTATCACCGCCTGAATTTTGGATAGATATGACCCAGGGACCTTGGTCATTCTCTTGTCTGGCCAACTGTATCATCGTGTGGGAGAGTGGGAGCCTGGCAGCCATACCCAAGAGGATGATGTCACTCCGGGACGGGTTGGAAACGTGTTTTTCTTCCCCAAAGCCTCTTTCGACAAACTGAAAGGGAAGCCCCCTCTCTGGAACAAGAGAACGTTGTCTGGCACTCTTCCAGATGTTGGACAAAGAAATAACTAACTCACCCATCTACCTTACTCCTATCTGCCAATGTGTAATTGAAATTTTAAAAAGAGGCTGCATTTTTTGTAGCAATCAAATTACAAAATTAAGAATCAAGGACTTCACATTGGAAATGGAGATGTACCGCTTTCCTATCTTCATTGTCCTTCCAGGCATCTTATCTCTGTTACCCAACTCTTCACCACCCTGTGTGTATTGACCTTCCTCATCCACAATCTGTCAATTTAGTTCCAGTTTCTGATGGTTTTTTTGGTTCCAGGAATTCATATATATATTCTATTTTTCTCTATCAGGTATACGGCAACGAACCTCTTTATGGCTACACATCCCACGGCTTATCCCAGGCAGAAGCTTGTTGACCCGGAAAATACTGAAAAGCGGATCCTTTCTTCACATCGCCAGAATATTGCAACTGGGCGTGCAAATGCAGCTGCCAAGGCTTCAGATGGTACGTCGCTTTTTGGCATATGTTGCTATCTAATTAGTAATTACTATCTAATCTTGGGCAACAGCCATAGCCGCCGCCTTATCAGCGTCTGACGCATCGCAACCGCCGACGTCGAGAGAACCATCAACCGTTGGCAACGTTATCGACGTTATCGATGGTGATCAAGCTCATGAAGAGGAATCTGCCCCCGATTCCGCCGCACGTCCAAGTAAGAAATCTGCCACAAGAAAAAGGAAGCGAGCAGAAAGTGAGTTTTTTTACATTTTTTGATCTACGCAACGCACTTTACTTACAACTGAATTGTCTAGGCAAAGCAATTGAAGACGCAGATGCAACAGACGTGAATGGCGTGTACAAGGACGTAGACATCGGGAAAAACCCCAAATCCAAATTTCAGGTAATTATCTCCCGATTACTTCTAATCTCAATAACTGGGAAATAATAGGGCTAACTACCAACTAATCTGCGGTAGTCGTGATAAGATTTGTCCAGTACTCATAATTTGTTGTGTATTACCAGGGGTCCCGCGTAATTTCAGATAATATGACTAACTGTAGCGTCGTTGCTCTTTAATTTATTTTTACGGTTAATAAACAAAGACGACTAATATTAGAAAAGACCACAAATATCAGAAAAGATTACTATAAGGGAAGCGGTCCGAGAAAGGATTACAGTAGAATACTTTACATACATCGAGCGCAGTACTAGACTTCCACGCGCTATTCACAAGTGGCCCAAATTTTGGAAAGAGATGGACTGATTGGCGAATTAAGTTTATTGGGACCGCACTAACGAGTTGCTGACCGCCGTTATCGAGCAAGGGAGAAGCACAATAGAGAAGGTGATGCTTCTCGGGGCCTCGGGGCGAAAAGGGAGTGAACCACTCGACATATGCAAAACGTTTCGGCGGTGATCGTCCTGGGAACCAAAGGTCGAGGGCTCGTTTAGGCAGCTGAAAAATGCAGCGTACCCGTGCGACGCAGTAGCCTAATTTGAGAACATGAATCAGCGTTGAGTTAAGATTAGAAACGGAAAATATGCCACCTTGCACACCAGTTTCACCGCCGTCCTTGTAGTGGATGAGGACGGCATCAAAGCGGCCAGGAACTACTTCACCGAGCCCATTCCTTCGCGACGGTTGACAGTGAATGGAGTCGACGACGCTGGCTGATGCATTGGATGTTGCCTGATAAGGATCGTAGGCGCGGAATTTCATTCGGAAGAAAACGGAGAGTCGATCAAAGGGAAGGTAAAAGTCGTCAACGGAGGCTTCAATCTCAGCGCGGCTATACCTAGGGTTTTGTATTTGGATGACATAGCGAGCTAGTGCAACTTCGAGGAGCGTTGCGCCGTAGTCTTCGATAATCTTGTTGAGTTTGACACCTTGGGCTGATGGATGTTTGGCCATCTGCACTTCTCGGGGATGCACAAGAGTCGGAATTGATGGCGGTCTCACACAGGGTGTGAGGGGTGGCGAAACCTGCTGTGATTTTCGCCAAATAAACCGGTCGCGGTGTAGGACTTTCTCTCGTCTCTCCAGCCAGATGGTCATTTGGGTGTATTCATCCTTACCATTCGTAGCGCGGTAAGCTTCCTTCGCAAGGTCGATGCGAAGGCGCTCTGTGTATTCAGTGTTATAGTTGTCGACGGCGCCGTAAAGTTCAATGAAGAAATGATAGTGGGAAGAGAAATGGAGCTTGGGGATGTTAAAGTTCGTCCGAACACCGAGGTCAAGGAATATATCCTTATTTTCGTGGAACATCTCAAGTGCCATGTCAAGTTGTCAAGGGTTGGCTGGGAATGAACTGGGTATGGGGCGAGATAGAGAAAATCGAACATCCCTCGAACAGAGGCTAAAGGACGGGCATTCGAGAGGTTATCAGGGAGTTTGATATCAACGATGATACCAAGGAGGAAGCGACAGATCTGGTTGTGTTCGGTGCCCGTGACGCGCGACAGGCCGGAGATTCCTTTCGAAAAAAGGTGAATATTGTGATTGGGTGGTAACCGGCGGCGCCGAGCGTCGATTTCCGCATCGCCGCAGACATCCCGAATCCACCCAATCAGGTGCTCGATAACACCCTGATAAAGCTGGTGCAGGGCATCCAGAGAGATTGACTGATATATGTTAAGAAATGGGAGGTCTTTCCAGAAGGGGTTCTGGATGGGTTTAATGCCAGCTGCAGCGCGTGCCTTCGTGAATTCAGTTGGTCCCTGGCTAATAGCGTCCAAGGCATCCAAAATAGCCCCCAACTCTCGAGGATCAACAGCGCTCTCGGGATCACCAATGTCATCGCGGTGTGCAGGGCGAACAGGACACTCCCCGTTTTTGATCCCAGAGACGAGGCGTTGCTCCGGATAGTCTCCGACGTAAACAGCAAGAACGGGGTGTCCACGGCGAACAGAGCCATCCCCACCTGCGAGTACCATACCGTCAATTCTGGCACTTTGGAGGGGTTCAAGGATATACCCGACGCAACAATGGAATAAGTTGGCAAGAATCCGACGATGCGCGGACTTGTTGGTAACATCGTCGAGTTCGGAGGTAGGGAGGTATCCAAGTAAAACTTGCGTTTGTCGCGAAGGCTTTCATCGGATGTGCTTCGGGATATTTCCAATAGTCATATAAATCGGGTAGGCCGTTGGGCCGCGAAAAAGTGTGAGTTGAGTTTTGTCGGAAGAGATGACGACGGGCACGACAGTGCAATTCTTCTTCTTGGTTTCGTCTTCAACAGCTTTCTGGAAGAAACTAAGCGATGCAGAAGAGAGTGGATTGATGAATTACAAACCTGAGTATCCTGCCACCGCTTTCCGGTATTCATTTCATGGTAAACTCTGATTGTAAGGTCATCGTCGGCGTAGTGCCGCTGAGGTTCAACGAGGAGAGATTCTGTAAACTCGGGGTCACTCCACAAGGCCTCGATACATTCCAGAATATTGCGTGAATAGAGGTCGAAGGATGCGTTGTGGACGACAACCTGGCGGCAGATAAATTTCGGCCAACTGTTGGGAAGCTTTGCGTCGATTATCTTGTTGAGTTCACCAGAGGTCCGATACGAAAGGCCCAAGGCGTCTCGTACCTGAATAAGAAGGTTTGTGAGTACTAACGAATAATTTTATACATTCCACTTACGCCCTCGATTGCCAGCAAGTCAGAGAAGGCTGTCGACCCAGCCCCTCGAAGCTTCGCCCACCTAGCCACCTCCCAATCTACTTGCGACGTGAAAGGCGCCCATGGATTTGAGGCACTAGCTGCGAGGCCAGCCTTGTAATCTACATCTGTGGCATTCTTTCGACCTAACGTCCCTCCTGCTCGCTTTGTTGGGTGTTTGTCTGAATATCGAACAATTTTGAAGTTATGTGCACGCCAAATTTTGATGTTATGCGCATGCCACAGTGGGTCCTCTGCGCTCCGGGTGGTGTTAAATTGATGATTAAGCCCAGGCTGAGCTTCCTCAGCAACAGGTTGGCCCTCAGCAGCGATATGGGCAGGCTGCCCGACCGGTCGTTCTGGTCCCCATTCGTCCTCAAGCACGGCACGGAGAGCTGCAGTGAGATCATCGTCGTGGAGGTCTTCACCCTCAGATCCATTGCCAGCATCCATTTCAGGGTGCTGGAAGTCGTCGCCTATGTTGTAATCGTCGGCGTCTCCAAAAATGTCCCCAGCGAACGGGACTGCTTCCCCACCTGGGCCATCAAGGTCGAGACGAAGTCCATCGACGGCGAGGCTGGCGCCGACATCAGACTCGGGAAGTACGCCCATTAGTTCGTGGAATATGGCATTGCAATCAGGATTGCGGCTTTGACGAAGGTGCGGTAAGTAGCCACGTTGGGTAAATCCCGTGAATTGGCAGCCGTCGCAGGTGAATCTGTTGGAGGGAATGGACATGACGAGAAGTTGGACAAGGTTCAGTTTTGGGTTGGGAGGATAAACGATACAGAAAGTAAGGAGATGTAGGTTGTATCTGTACAAACAAGAGGTCAGCGAAAAAAAAAGGAACTTGAACCCAACAAGACGCGTACCTCTTTCCTCTTCCCTCTCAAACGGCGCCCCCTTCACCCTCGTTCCTAGTGCCAATCCCACTCTCCCTTATTATTCTTCCTCTTCCTCCAGCCTCTCATCGGTAATAGGCATTTCGCTCTCCTATTTCATGCTAAGCTGAAGATACGTCAGCAGAAATGAACAGGGCAGAAAAGGCAGCTGAGACTCGCAAACGGAATAAGCTGGAGAAGGCTATCGCTGACAAAAAACTCCTGGAGTCAGTCCAAGGTATGTTCTGCTGGTATAACAGCATACGCTCACCTATGACGTGAATCATAAAAGCTCCCAGAAAAGCATTTGCTGATGCGCTGAAGACTCATCGCAGTGAGTATTCATGAAACTGAAATGTTATCTTACCGCACCTACGCTCTTGCATTAGTATGGACTCAGACGCCCGCTGGGGGTGCAAAACGTGCCATTGATTCCGAAGATGACGACTCAGAGATAAAATCTCAGCCTATAAAACCGCCGAAGAAGAAAGGAAAGGTTCTCGGTCAGTAACTTTTATCTTGAACATCATTATTCTTACGCACAACATGACTCACCGATTTTTTTTTGAAAATAGCCGAGAGTACAGCATCTTCTGAGCCGCAGTATAACATCGCTGCTAGTCAGTCAATCTCAAAGGCACGAGACAAGGTGGATCGTTCAAAGCAAGGCGTCGTAGACTCATCAGTGATCATTGATAAATAGATGACTAAGCGAAAACAGTAGCAAAGCGACCTCCGCCTGCAGCTCGAAGATCAAACACTGACAGTGACTCGAGCGTTGAAGAGCCTATCCCACGACAAGAGAAAACTCAGCGTTTGAAGCAGTCCTCCCAGGTGGCAGTCAAAAGCACTTCCGAGGTATGCTACTGCGAATTATACTATAAGATGGCGCTCACATTGGGCGACGTAGAGGTCGCGGGGCGATCTCCAGATAGCAAGTGAGGATGGCGAGGGCGAGGGCGATGGTGATGCTTCCGGAGAGAATAGTGACCCAGAGGAAGATCTCGATGACGATTTCGATGAAGATCTCGACTTGGGAAACAAAAGCATCAAGGAACTTGAAGAGATGCTTAGTAAGGAGGTTCGTCGGAATACTTATATTTTCTTGGACCACTGACGAACTGTTGTCAGTCTGCGACAATTCTGGATGCCCCCGGGCCTGAGGCTCTCTTCGATCAAGACGACGACATCGTTCTCGCTTCCGATTCCTCAAAGTCTTACCATCGCCATTCCTCCAGCGCCAGTTTTGCGTCTTCCGTGCCACTGACAACCTCCGACGGCGTAGACATACATGAAGATTCTGAAAGTGAAGCCCTCCCTAGCTTCGATAAAGAAGCTGACATTGTTCCCACTTCCAAATCTTCTGGGTCACGCTATCGCCGTTCCTCCAACGCCAGTTTTTCGAATTCCGTGCCAGCGACAGACTCTGAGGGCGTGAACATGGGCATCGATTATGAAGATCCTGAAAGTGAAGTCCTTTCCAGGTCCAAACTGCCGAAATCAACAAAGAAGCCTGGCAACCGAAAAGGCGGGGCGAAGCCACTGGTGAGACTTAGGTTTTTATTATGTTGGCCGTTATTCACGTATTCCCATTAGACCCAACGTGAGCATAAGTTCCGACGAGAGGTATGTCTTTTGTTTCACTTGATGACCCAGACCCCCTTTACACCTTTTTAGAAGCCAAGCGTCGACATGGGAACGACCGCTGTTGCGTACTGGGGTAAGCATTCTTTTATTTCATGCAAATTTTCGCATTTCATCTCTCAATATGTAGCTGTATGCATCACTTATGATGTGGAAAACCGGCACTTTCCAAAAGATTTCCTTTGAATGAAGTGTCTTTGCGGCGACGTACCAGAGCTTGGCTAGCATGCTGGAAAGGATGAAGGTGGACAGTCCGCGAGGGTACCATCGCATTATGTCGACGTTGTGTGAGGAAATGATGTAAGTTCCGCCTTGATTGGTTGGATGATGAGCTTAGGGTCTGTCCGGTAACGAGAATTCATTTTCATCTCATTTTCATCTTCATTTGATGGCTGACAAATTGGGTCACACACCAAATTGGGCTGGGCTCCTTGCACAATCCACATTCCGTTGTTATAGTTTCTATGTACAACACAGTAATAGCCTACTATCAGCTATAGCATGTATTCCTTTTCAATTTTTATTTCGCAAAAATCATGCATATTTATCTTATTCATGTAAATTACATACAGCCAATTTTTCCTTGATTTTCTTTAAATTACCCACTTGTAAGTTAAGCACATAGGCTGCTGTGCAACCTATAAAGAAACCTATGGCATGACTTGAAGGGTAAGGAACAGGAAACTTTGTTATTTTTCCTTGAAGCATTGCTGTAAAAAATAATTATGGACAGCAACAGAAACCAACTACATTCAATAAATATGTACTTGTGGAGAGCAAATAGATACATGAAAATTTCAGCTGCTTTGGAGCCAATCCGGCATTGGGGGAGGGAGCAAGGAGCAGGCGATGAATTTATTCAGAGTCAATTGAGCGAGAGATTCATATCGCGGGAAGACCCCGGCATACTCCGGACATGCCATCAAATGAGGATGAAAATGAGATGAGAATGAATTCTCGTTACCAGACAGACCCTTACAGTGACTTTTCAGGGGTGCGGCGTCCTTCAATAATGACGACAATGACGACGAAGCTTTCAACGCCATCGATCTCAGTGGATACTAGGTGGCTAGTTCTTCGGGCTCACCTCCCCTATTTAATAAATATCTCATATAACTTCTACATTATTTGCCCAGTATAATCCCCACTGTTTCACTGCAGCTATCCATCCTGTAGATATTTCTAGTACCATAAGCTTTTCTTAATCAATCTTATTGTTGGGCCTTCAAATCACCGGTGTACCAATCCTAAGACAATTCCCAGTACCCGAAAAATGGCTAAAATCCCCCCCTAACTGGACTTAACCTTGGTTTAACCACAACGTAACTTCATCTCAGATGCAGATAACCTCTACTCACGCATCGGTAACTTCAAAGTAATTTCAGGTAAGAGTTAGGAACCGTATTCTTACAGGGCAATTCGACGTAATTTGCTAAGAGGCGTAATTTGACCTAATCTATGGAAATTTGAGGTTATTTCGCCAAATATCTCGCTTATTAGTGAAAATTTGGATTTGGGGTTTTCCCTGATGGAGGTCATTGATTTGAGAGCTGACGCAGACATCTCCACGCCGATCAAGAAAAGTCCGACGCGCGATGTCGACGAGTTTTTCAAACCTGCAGCCCCAGCGGAGAAAGGTGAGAAGTACGGTAGGCGCAAGTGTAAGCTTTACTGGTGAGCATTCTGACTCTCCACCTTGACTACTTCTCGTATTCTTTTAGGTCAAAATACAGAAAGGATTTTAGTCCTGTTGCTGAACCAACGACGCTCCGACGACACGCGGAATGGATGCATCGCGTATGTACCTTTTTATTACTTCGGCATTCTATTTCATTTTAAAATTACTACTAGGGCGATGGCCTGAATTGGTGTAAGAGAGAAGGTTTCGCATCAACGCTCCCCAAGTGCTCTCGTGAACGCCGTCTAAAGGCTGTCGAGACGGCCCAGGCAGATCAAACTCAGGTCGACAGTCACTTTGGTCCCGCCCCACCGAAACCAGAGAAGCGAGCTCCATACTCTGATGAACTATTTAACGAGGCGGCGATTCAATGGTTGATTGAAACGGATCAGGCAGGTTTTTCATGATTTCTTGTATCCTCATGCTCACTCTCGACACCCGCAGCCTATTCAAGCATTTGAACACCCAGCGTTTAAACGGATGATCAACGTCGCTGCCAGGACTACTCGCGACGTGAAGTTCCTCAATCGAAAACAAACGCGCGTGGAAATTATTCAATTTTTTAAGGCGCAAATGACGCAGCTCAAGAATGGTCTCAATGTCCGTAAATTTAACTCACTCATGGTTCTCAGTATTAACCATTTTTCTAGGATAAATCGAGGGTAAAGGGTCAAATCAGTTTAACATGCGATGGATGTGATGCGTGGCTAGCTTCCAACGCAGACAGTTATTTCGCTGTCACGGGCCACTGGATCGAAGAGAGCGCTGACGGTAAATCATGGTCGCTACAACACGCTCTGTTTGGTTTCACGCACATGAACACATCCCGCAACGGAAAGCGCCTTGGGCAGGCGCTCTTCAAGATTTGTGATCGGCTAGGCATTGTTCGTAGGGTACGTTTATTTCTTTTGCAGGAAAACTTACTGAATATACTAATTCTTCCAAGATCGGTCATATAACATGTGACAACGCATCAAATACAAGCAACGTCGCGTAAGGTAAGCTGTTTCATTTGATTCATATGAACTTTGATAAAAAGCCGTCTCTATCTCAGACGTTTAGCGCATATAATCAACCTTGCAACGCAAGCGCTAATCTCAACAATGAGTAAGACTAAGTACTACAATCCACATTCAGAGGAGGAACACATACCCGCGGTTGTTGGGCGTGATCGAGACGAAACAGGCCTAGTCCGCGCTATCGCTGCGAAGGTAAATTTCACCAGGCCATTCCTCAATTTGTTTATTTCAATTATTACGCGCAGGAGCGCTCATCTTCGCAAAGAAAACAACATTTCAAGGACATTCAAGTTCGCGATGGGGTCTAAATCCCCAAACAGCTTATCTTGGACCTGAAGATCAGGTGGGGATCGACGTATGCAATGCTAAATAGAGCCGAAAAACTCAAAAAGGTATTTCCTCCATTTTCATGCTTTCTCTTTCGCTTTCTTTCTATTAATTTCATACTTTTAAGCATGTCGACGTTTTCATTTACGAACTTGGAGTTAAATCGAAGGATGATCTTGGGAAAAGAGCCAAGATTGAATATTGACGCGTTGTCTATAACCGCAGCTGAATGGGCTCGTGTACATGATCTTTGCTCACTCCTTGGAGTGCGTGAAACTTCCCTTCAAGTATTTCGATGCGTAACTAATTCATGTGCCTTTGCATAGCGTGCCGATGAGGCGCAGCATGCGTTTTCATCCACGAACATCCCGTCGCTCTGTCACGCACTCCCCGCAATCGAAGCACTCCACTCTGCATGGTCTAAGCGCACTAAACGCGTAAATTATGCACCCTTTCGTGATGCGCTCGACGCCGCCACAGAAAAGCTGGAAGAATACTACGGAGACAAGACTGCAGACTCAAATGCCTATATTATGGCCATGCGTTCGTCGTCTCTAGACTCTCTCTCTCTTTTTTAAGTTGCTACTAAGCAGATACAATCAAGTACTGAATCCGTCTATAAAAACATCGCATTTCAAGAAGTACTGGTCGAAGGAGTTACAGAAAGAGGTAATCGACGTGGCGCAGAAACTGGTACGTTAGCTGGTACTCTTTGTTCATGTCTAAAAGCTTACTTTTTATTATATCAGTTACAAGAGCGTTTTGAAGAACTCAACGAGGAGTCCACTTCAGAAATACGGTCACCCAAGAAAAAGAAAAAACTTGATCACCTACTTCGCGAACTCGATACAGATTTTGACAATTCCGATGACGTTTCCGACAACGAGTCTGATGATCAAGATCCAACGAAACCGTGGCTTCCTGAGTTTCACCAGTTTCTCAAGATTGAACATGTTTTGGCTGAAGGAATGACTGTCGTTCAAGGGTGGGGAGTGCGTATTTTGGTTTTATTTATGTATTGAATTTCTGATCACTCACTATGCTTAGGAGTAAGGCCACTGCTATCCAACGTGGGCATCGTTGGCTCGAGACTATCTGGATATCGCGGCATCGTCCGTATCGAGTGAACGAGCATTTTTAGCGGCAGGAATTACTATTAGCAAGCGCCGCAACCGGCTCAAAGGTGATATTGTCGAGGCACTTCAGTGTTTGAAGTGCCTCTTTAATCAGGATCTTATTTTTCGTGAGGTAATCGCTTGTTCGGAGGAGGAAGATGTACTCGATGAGGTTCTCCCCGAGATTTCAGACAGTTCAGATGGGTTTGCGTGGGATCAGATACTCTTTGATGACGAGGATCTTGATTAGTGCTACTTAGACTTATTAGATCATGTTCCCGTCTTTATTTCTCAATGAAATTGAGATGAACAAGAAGCCTTTCTTTATTTCTAAACATTCAAATTATTTTCAGAGAGAGGGAATATTACTGTAGTGGTAATTTGCGTGAGATTCCTCAACAGTTTGTTTGTGCATGTTTTTTGACTTTAGGCCATGAGCCATGGCTTGAGCTTGGGCCGGGCCTGAGCCAGCCTGAAGCCTTGCAAAAAGCTCAGGCTTGGATATAGACAAGCCTGAGCCACTCAAAGCCAGGCCATAGCCGTGGCTTTCAGGCCAAGCCGGGCCTGCGCATCACTACGCGGCGGCGGCATTTGCGGAAGAGAGCCATCTCAATTAAACGGCCGAGGAGGAAACAAATCTAGGAGTCATTCTACTCCGCACGTCCTTCATGCAGATATCCCTGATCGCATGCGCTGAAACAGATATCAGAGGGGGCTCATCGCTACAGTGCGATAGTCCTTCAAGGAGAATTTATATCTTTGATCTCAGCTCAGATTCAAAGTATACCACCGGCTATACACCCACGACAACCCGCTCGAATCCTTCAATCCCATCTACTCCGACGACAAGACCGTCAGCCGCATCTTGCTCAAGTCAATCGCGCCCCCGCGCAACGTTGTCTCACTGAAGAGGTGTTGGAAAAGGCACCTGCGGATCCCTCGCCGCGACTCGTCTGGGGGACCTGGATTAGGCTGGTCTGAATTTGATGCACTCTGGTAGTACGTTCCAGAGATCAGGAAGCGATCGGCGCCAGCGAAGACGGCAACTTCAAAAACACTGCCTGAATCACTTCGCAAACCACATTAGGGTGGGCGTTGATTTTATCTGCAATTCAATCTGTTAATTTCTTATCGATTACCGTACTTATGGCGAAGCGGGTGAGATCGCGTCGAAAACGTCCTTTGATGAGACTGACGCCTCCCTGGGTCGCATTGATGCACGCTACATTCCGCTGCCTCGCAGCCGCATTTCCTTGAAGAGTTAGTCAGGCCCAGCGAATCTTACTTCCGGAGGCAACGCTGTATGACAGCGAAGAAAACGAACTGATCTGACTACATGATTAGTCATCAGGAAAAACCCAAATTGCTAATTTTTACTAATTAGTTGCCATTAGTAGGGACCCTTCTAATCGGTGCCAACAAATGCTACTACTAAATGCTTCTGCAAGGTGGTTAAGCATCTTTAAGCATACGGTCATTATAAGTTTGCTAATGGGTACTTTTTCGGTCAATTTTCGGCACTTACTAGACACTTATTGTGCGCCGATTAATCCTTTTTGCTCCGTTGAGAATGACATGGGTGAAATTAGTCTCCTTCAGTACAATCGAGAGATTCGGTAAATCTAGGGTCTAACAATCCTGCTTTCTTCTGCTCATATCCACAAAGAGATGAGGGAAAACCTGATATATTGCAGAATCTACATAAGGGAACACAGACGCCGTTGTACAACAACCATTGATCTCCTCACGGCGTCCTACCCATTTCATGGATGACGAGGAACAGCGTCGATCGCCGTATCCGCCTGTGTCAGGATTGAAGACAATGGTAGGGAAGCTTGCTTTTCTGCATGTGAGTCGTCGATGGATGAGGCAAAGTCCAGAACGGAGGGAGGGAACAGACCACTTCAATCATTCCGACGACTTTGCGCGGGACACTCTATGGGGGTCAAGCGGGTGACATGGGAGAGTAGGCGGAGGAGGAGTGGCAGGCGGTTGAATGTCCCGTTTGAGTGTCGCCGATGAGGCCAAGAGTCTGTGGTTATCGTGTCAAATTGGGGTTAGAGGGAGAAGGATATGCACACCAGCGGCTACACGTCACCTCGTTGTGTTTTCAACAGAGCGGCAGCAGGTGTGACATCGGAAGCCTGAGGAAAGGAATGAGAGGGCCAAATGGTCAAACCGTCGAAGACTCGGACGTACCCCAATCCGAATATCCCCTCAATCTGCCCAGTCGAACTTACAGCCTTTCAAGTACTGTGAACGGGTCAAATTCCCATGAGACACGCACTGATGAGAATCCACAGTGAAAAACGTACCAAATGGTGTTGAACGACCAAAAGTGTGCATGTTAAGGTGACGTTGAGAAGCTTCGTAGAGGCTGGAGCATAGGAGAGTGGTGATGGGTGGGAAGACGATGGTTGAAGTTGAGAGTCACGTGAAAGTTCAACATAGGCCAAATAGTAACAATTTTTCTATGACGTTCCACATATATTATCCATCTTCCTGAATCCCAACTCCCACCACACCTTGACCACACCTCTGCCCAACAAGGCCGACCCCTTCATAACCACCCGCCCACTACACCTTCACTCTACAGCCCGCCCACTACACATCGTCGTTCATAATAACCGCCGCCGCCGCCCACTACACCGTCACTCTACGGCCAGGTCGATCCAATCTCTGCTGCCCTAAAACCTTCAGCCAAGGCAGAGCGTCTGTCCCGTCTGTGGGCAGAAGTTGAGGCGAAACGGGCTATCGAGCAAATCGACGATGAACGTGAGCGGGAGCGATTGAAAAAGAAGGGCAACGTCAAGGTTAGTGCGCTTTACGCTCATGTGCCGCATACACTCATCTGCGCGACAAGCTTCTTCTCATCGGTTGATACAAGAGCGGGAAATCGACACTTCAGAACAGTTCCATCTCATGTATAAGCCCACTTCGATGGATCAAGAGTGCGGATCCTGGTAAGCGGCCCTCTCTTTCAACCTCGTTCATTTATTGAAACACATCCTAGCTACTACGCATGAAGCTTAGGACAACATTTTTGACGAAGACGCCGAAGTGCGACCCTCATCGACGGACGATTCACAGTCTATCGTACCCAAGGAGGCTCACAAAAATGGTAATGTAGTTCAGCTATCACCTTGTATCAAGTCATGCTCAGCACGTCATCATCAGCGCCTTTGTTTGGTCCTTCGTTCTCCTTGCACTCCTCACCGCTGGGGTCATCGCCCTACGCCGGATCAGGGCGCTGGGTGATCATACACGTTATGAAGTATACATACTTAGCCTACTTGTTCTGTATGTCGTAGATTGATGAATATACATTGTTGAATCTTTCGAAAAATCGATCTACAATTAAGATCTAAAGCCATTCTTATAAGCACCTAATAACTCGGAACCTGTTTAATTTGACCTAATTTCACTAATCGTACTTATGGGCACTTATCACACTAATTCTAACTTTTCTCCTCTCATTAACACAAATCACTATAAATTTGCAAGGTGGGTTTTTCCTGATGTCAACTGTACCTCTTTGATGCCCAGCCTAGGCGGGATAACTCGATAAATATGCCGCTCACCAACACTTCCCCATACTGGATGTCGATTCCGGCGGTCTAATCTCGGTTTAATCAGATACTGCCAGTGGGAATTCAGATAAACAGAGAAGACTACACCCTGAACACGATTAAGTGGCTATGCACCGCACGCCCCATTCGTATCTGCAATGTTCAAACGTTCACCCAAGGCTTTCATCGGTGTTCGTCTTCCATTATTTGGTTGAGGCGATTAATGATCTCGTAACCGCTCTTGCGGTCGTCTTCCCATTCTACCAAATTTTCTAAGCAGCGTGGCGACGCCGTCAGCCTGCGATCGAGAAATGTCAAGACCACAATTAAAAGGATAAATGACATCCTTTTGAGCCGCGGCAAAAGGGGTGTCCCGAAGCCTTGCTGCCTACAGACGCCGCTCCGTAGCCGTTCGCTTTGCACCCGGCAGATGTCTTTGAACAGAGGTATCGAATCGGCAAGAAAGGTGCGTGGGTTGCTTAGAGATTGTAGGGACACAGACACACGCTCTGAGAGTGTGATGAATGGGTCCTTTGAGAGAACTCTGATTCCATATGCAAGTGACAAAAATAACCCGCCATTCATGCTTGGAAAATGTCAATCAAAATCACACAGGCAATTGGTATGTAAAGTGGGCATACTATTTATTATGTTCTATAAATTCTTGTGGAGTTTTTACGAGCTGTAAAAGCATTTTGTGCACATGGGCAAGCTGTCGTGGTCTATAAATGGCACTATCGGAGGGGTGGAAGGAAGCGTTGATAGAATATCCGGCAACGCTCCGTCCATGACTTCCCATAGGGTAGAGAGGACATGAGCCACGACAATCCCATGCTACAACGAAGTCAGCTCTTTGGTTTCATGAATTCTAGAAGGGGCGCATTGGTCTTACAATTCGTTAACCATGGTTGCGCGGGGTCTACGGCGGTTATTAGCCTCCGCTCTCGATGAAGAATAAAAGAACCAAAGCAGACCGACTGGAGTAGATCGCAGACCTTTCTCCCAGGAGGTCGGTCGCGCTCTTGACTGAGTTAAGCACGATAAGAGAAAGTCCTGGACCTTCCAAGTAGATGATATCGGAGCCTAGTAGGACATCGTAAGCTCGGACAAAGATACACAGACCGCATTTGCGACCCCAACTTGAACGAGCGTACGCAAAGCGTACGTTTCTCATTCCAACGCTTGAGGTATGGATAACATGTTTCCAACAAATGTGTATTTCTTCGGACCTGGAGGGAACGGTAAATTATTTTTCTCCTTCAGGCGGCTGCGGAGTAACAAGGCGAGCGCGACGTTTAAGAGGATCGCGCAGAGATCTGTGAGGGTGAGGCCCATAGGAGGAGAAAACTGTGCTTGAACTTCTCGACCCGTCCCATATTATGTAATGTCGAATGGATAGCCGCGTCATTTGCCACTTCCGACGAACAGGTGAATTTGCCACTCGAATTTTTCGCCACTTCTTGTGGATAATCGGCAGTTGATGGTCAGATCTGTGTTTGACCCAGACGCCGTGAACAAACAGCCCGCTTAGCATCACCAACGCGCACTGTCGCGACTGCTCCGACGACCGCGACGATGTCGTCGAGAACAGCGCTCAAGACGTTCTCTCTCGCCAACGACATCCTAGAAGTCACCCTCAAATTCGATGCTGAGGCTAAAAGATGGATTAATCAAGAGGCTCCCCGGACGAAAGAGTGCGCACCTTCTACCCTCAAATTATCACCCACCCACCTCGCTGGCGCCGGGTGATGGAGATCGATTCAAGAGCCTACCAGCCTTGTCGTGTCCTAGTCCACACTACTCAAGTCCTGCAAAATATCTGCAGTCGCGCTGATCAAGACGGTGTGGGGCGCGACCCTTAAGCCCTGACGATGGGCTGTAGCTGATATGGTGGCTCGCAGGTGATTCATGCCCAGTCGGGGGTGATTATGGGGCTCATGCAAATGAAGGTGGCTGGGAACTCGATTGTCATCGTGGATTCGTTCGCTCTGCCCGTACAAGGAACTGAGACTCGTGCCAATGCGGCTAGTGAGGCCGACCAATACATGGAGAAGTTTATTCAAGGCAGTGAGAAGGTGTGTCCATCCCTCTTCCCTCTAATCTATCCTTCGCCTTCGAATAATCCGCACCCCTTCTCATCTTTTCATATCTCAGGCAGGGAGATTGGAGAACGCTATCGGGCGGTACCGCTCCCATCCTGGATATGTTGGCTTTCCGGTATCGATCTGAAAACCCAGATGAACAAACAGAAGTTCCAGAATCCGTTCTTGGCGGTCGTCGTGCGTCTGTTCTTTGTTAGAGCGCTATCTTTCGCCTCATTTTGTGCAGATTGATCCAAATCGCACCGTTTATGCGGGAAAGGTCGATATTGGCGCATTCCGGACATACCCCGAAAACTACGCTCCAACAAACGCATCCGCATCGGAAGATCAGTCAATCCCGTTGAGCAAGATTGAAGACTTCGGTGTCCATGCGAATCAGTACTATCAGGTCGACGTGGAGATTTTTAAGTCGAGTTTAGATAACGAATTGTTGGCGCTGTTGTGGAACAATCACTGAGTGAACATGTTGAGTCAGAGCCCTCTGATTTCGGTGAGCGTTGGGTATCCTCTATATAACCTTCGGAAAAGAATGCTGACTCCCAATAGAATAGGGCGTATACTGTGTCACAGCTTTCTGATTTGCACCAGAAGCTTGCGAAGGCACAGTCCTCTGTCAACTCTACGCGGGCCCATGTACCCACTCTCAAGGAGAAGGACGCCGGAACTGGTAAACAAAAGGTAAGCCAAACTGAGCCTAGTATCAATCATCGTCTTACCGTCTGTCTGCAGCAGAAAGAGAAGAAAGAGGAGAAGAAGGATAACATCAAACTGGTAAAAAGCGTCACGGACAGGTTTGTGCGCTGCCTTTCCGGTTTATTCTACGCTGATTGCTATGTTAGCACGAGGATTGCCGTCGAGGCCCAGCGTGGGCTTATCGCTCAAGTGATCAAAGGCGTGATTTTCTCAATGAGACCCTAGAATGGCTCGACGACAGATGGATATGGCTGACGATGATAAACTCGTTCCCTGCGAGGGAGCGAGTATTCATCACCAAGTTGACGGAGGATCTACACCTGAGTGTGACGTGGGACGAGTTTGATGAGGAGGACAGGAATTTGGCGACGTGTCGGTTTCCGAGAGCGCTGGAAGATGAGCCTGAGACGAGCGAGCAGGAGGAGGATAGTGAGTGGGAAGACGAGGATGAGGTTGAAGACGAGGAGAGCAGAGCAGCAGTTGATTGTGTGCTTAAGAAGTATGAGAAGGCGCCTGTTGAGGATGTTGATGCCGATGGGACGTTTGAGGAGCGGTATGAACGGTCTTTGAAAGAGAAGATGGACGAGTGGAAGCGGGGTTATTATAAGGTTGGGATCTTTTTGTTGTTCTCAAGTTAAGTTTGAGCTGACAAGACGCCAACGCAGGGGAATCTAGGGATATCTTACGACGACCCGACTGAAATGGGTGATCCGATCTACCGACCTGCAGTTGGTCGTGCACGTGGAGTCGCATCGTGGGGATGGTTCTACGACTATCATTACGCTCCTCGGATTTCAGGTGTGCATCGTCGGTTAGGATGTTGGACGTTGCTCGTGTTGCCAATCGCAGATTTGCGGGGAGCGGACGAAATGTCTTTCGATTTTCAGCCTGGGAACGCCGTTGAAGCAGTACCAGCAGCTTATGGGCGTGTTGCCCGTTGCTAGCATGGATCACATTCCGCTAGCTTATCAGGTAGATATCGACGTTCGGATATGATTGCTGGCTGACCGCTCTTCGAAAGATCTCATGTACGATCCAAACTCACCGATTCTTGACTTCTACCCTCTCGAGTTCGCGCAAGATCTCAACGGGAAAAAGCAAGACTGGGAGGCAATTGTCACATTCATTGATGAAGAGAGGCCGCTGAAGGCAATGACTGGTACGTTCCTAGCCAAAGTATGGTCTTATGACACCAACGTATATATTCACTTTCAGCTCGTGATCATTGTCTCACCCCCGAGGAGAGAAAAAGGAACGCTTGGGGCTCGAGCTCGAAGTTCAGTTTCAACCTTGGCGAGCCCACTCTCTATCCTTCATCTCTGCCTGGATTCTTCCCCCCTCTTTATCGATGCACGTGCAAGACGGAGCTGTTCGACCTCCCGATCCTTGATGGGTTGCATCTCATTCCCGGTCTTTGCGACGGAGTATTCCTCGGTACAGAAGCTCTGACTGGATTCCCATTAAAACGCTTCCACACACGGCGCTGCTGGGATACCACGGCGTAAACGTCCAGGGTTCGGAAAGCCGGAACAAATCGATGGTGCTGCATATACGAAACCCGTATGAGGGGATGAAGACGGAAGAAGTTGAAGATGATAGGCGAACGGACTTTCATGGGGTGGCCGTACCTGCGGGAAGGATCGGTTCTGGCGGTCTCTGATTCGTTGTTCAAGTACGAGAAGATGACGGTCGCACCTGGGACGCCGGCCAAGGTCGTCTCAAACCCACGCGCGCCACAAGGATTGGGCCATTGGAAGATGAAGGCCGATCGTACCGAGCAGGTATACTCTAAATGATCAGGAGTCATTACACGCACTGTTGACATTCTCCTACACGTCCTTCCTCTAAAAGGTGAGTGTCTTATCTACCCTTCAATGGGATGTTGCTGACACTCTACAACACGTGAAGGCCTGAAACGATGGGAGTCTGGTGCCTTTGTGAAGGACTATAAGGGCCCAGAAAGGGAAACGGAACATGCGGTGCAGATGTGTCTTCACGAAGTTGCTTCAGAAGATCTTCCCTCGAACGCGACGCACCTCCTTTGTCAGAAGAGTTCCCCCTGGCGGTGGCAAGATTTTCATCCTGGGGGAACATGCGTGTGGGGTGGCTGCTTCGGTCTCTGCCACAACCGAAACCAGTTTGTCTGCGATGCTTGCAGTACGTCTTTCACTAATTCTGTATCATAACGCGCTCTTGAACCCATCACTGTTAGTTCTTCCCGGCCGAAAAGGCTGAGAATGACCAGTTCAAAGCCGTCGTACAGAATCGACGATCTACCCACTACTTCCCCTTTTTTAAAGCTGCAGAGATGGTTGGAATGTCGGGGCGGGCTTTGGGGAAGATTACGTTGAGTTTCATGATCATCGCATCGGATGAACAGAGGACCAAAGTCGGCCTGAGCTTCAAATTCGAAGCGAAGGCTTTGAACTATTCTCGCAAAGAGGGCCGGCATTGGGAGTATAGCCAGAGGGCAATCGACCTAATCCGATAGTACAAGGTCTGTCGGTTTCTACGGACTCTGACGCTTACTGAAGCATGGGATCATTAGGCAAAGTTTCCTGAGGTCTTCCTCTCGTTAGATAACAGTGGAGATAGTACGTGTCCGTTATTGTGCGATTGACGAGCGATTGACCTTAAATGTTTATAGCGATGGCAAGGGCATCGGACATCCTGTCGGGGCCGGATCCTGAAGGTCGTGTTAGGGCGATTAAAGCATGGCTAAAGATGAAGGGTGTTCAAGATTTCGAGCCCGTCTCCCTTTTCTGTGACCAACTAGGCAAGGTAAGCTGAATAGTCACTTCACGGCCTTGTAACCCGTCCATCCACACCTTATCTACCTGCAGGAGACTGTGGGGGAAATCAAGCGAATGGCTGATGAGTTTACGAAGAACAAGTCGTCAGCTCAGTTCAAGAAGGCCGTAGTCAAAGGAATCCCTAGACAAGCCGTTCTCAAACCTGCACACACTTACCGTCTTCAGAATCAACACTTTGCTTTGGGTGACCGTGTTACGACGGTGCAAGACTCTGGAAGCGTTCCACTATCGGTCAAAGGTGTCGTCATTGGGCTCAATTCGAAGACTATAGAGGTAGTGTGGGATGTTCCGATCATGTCTGGTATAACGTTGGGTGATCGGTGCGTCATTTTCCCCCTCATACATGTTTGCTTGGTGCTTACGACGCAAATGTAGGTGCTCGAAGTGCCGTGGCTCGACGGTCGAATTCAACACCTGCTTGAACTTGTCCAACCCACAGTTCATAACGTCTACCAACCCTAAAGCTCTGCCACCCGTTCGGAATGAGGTCCCCTTTGAACCGAGACATGGTCCCCGACCCAAGATCAACCCCGCGCCTGGCCAGGCTCCAGCAGCTGGATTGCGCCCAGCGCAGCCGGCCAGGTGACTCCCTTGCCCTCATCCACAAATTTACTCTTAAGCTAACCTGAAGATAGCCACTGACCGCCCATGCACGTCATGGCCAACCCCGACCGCGGCCGAGGGGGATACGTCAACGGCCGCGGCAGGTCACCCCTTCAGGCTACTAATGCCAATGCTCCAGAACTCCCCGAATCACCATCAGCGGCACCGACCTCCCAAGCTAACGGCGTGCATGCCCCGCCTGCTCCTGGACGAGGTTACTTTCCTAGAGGTGGCAGGGGTGCCTTTGTGCCTGGATTCCATGGAGGTCGAGGAGGCTTCATCCCCAATGCTGATCGCGGCCGAGGAGGGTGAGGCGGGTTCCTTACACAATAAAATTTGTGAGTCCACTCTTCCTGTTCCTTGCCCCCTTTATCAACTGGGGCTTACCTTCTTACGATTTTTTGTGTGACCAACAGGAAGTCTCAAACGCGGCTTCTCGCGCTCGTACGAAAATCATTTCTTATTGTTTGAAACGTCATGTCATCAGTGAAGACAGCTCCGCGATGTTAATGGTTAATGGTGTCTACCCAGCGCCATTGATCGCTGGGATCAAGGTGTATTCTCAGTAATATCACTTATGTAAAAGTGATCTTTTGAGTTTACGGCAAACCAGGAAGACACATTTCGCCTTAACACCATCAATTCTTCAACGGACCCACGTTGAGAAGTATCTGTATCGAGAGTCTCTAATAGCTCGTATAAATGGATAGGCACTCGATCCCTTTCATTGCCCTGGCGTGGATGACGGCCTCATCTCTCCTGGCAATTTGTTCTTGTATCAATTTCAGGTAACTTACCGATTTCTTCCGACCACGTCTTTTCCTCCCAACCCCATTTATCCCCTCCTTTCCGGACCTATAATACCACGTTCCTTACCCATATACCCTCATTAACCCACCTACCCCCTCGATGGGAAAAGATAAGTCTGATAGAGCCAAAAAGGGGGCTCAAACTCGGGCGCTCAATGCGCAGATTGAACAAGAGGAGGCTCAGCGCCTGATAGAAGAGACGAAAGGTCAGCCCTGCATGACTTGTCATGAAATCGAGGATCACTCACCTGGCTCTTAGGTGGCCGCAGTGCGAAGAAGGATGCCCTAAGCAACGCTAGTATGTGGCATTGCGTCGCGTCTCAAGAAGCACTTACCTCCAAACCTTGATGTAGTATGGAAGAGGAATGTAGATAAACGAGCTGTTTCTCCTTTAGCTGGGGAGAGAAAGGTCAGCAAAGATATCGGAAAGGTGCGTCGAAATACTGCTACCTTACAGGATAATTCTGAAACACCCAGCAGGTAAGAAGAGCTAGATGTCCCGCAGGCGAGGGCCACAAGGCTGATATTGTTCGCAGATGATGAGATGACAAGTGCTGAAAAGCGGACGACTCCATCGACGAAGTTGATGGGCAAGAGTATGTACTTATCGCCGCACTATCTCCATGACTCGACTTACCTAATGATTTTACGACAGAACCTTCTGCAGCCGTCATCCAGAACGACGAATCCGACTCCCAAGAGGAAGAGAAGGCACCGGTGAGGGCCATAATTCAGAAGGTACGATACGACTTAAAATGTATGCAGAAGGATTTTAGAGTTGGTGCGGTTCTAGGCTTCAAAGACGAAGAAACCCATAGTGCCTTCCTCACCGTCCAATGGGTCTTCCTCCGATTCTTCGCAATCGCAGGATGATGATTTGCACAATGAAGACGAATCTGACCCAGATTGTCTGGACCAAGTTCCTGACAAGAGGTTGAAGGAGATATTTGACCGAGAGGCGAGTCTATCAAGTTCGATCTTCGCTCACTTGTCGCTCACCCAATTTTATTTTGCAGCGGCCCCACTTTACTGAACATGAGGAGAAGGATCAAGATGTACCTGGTCTCTTCGACATTCCTGATGCGGATGTCGAGATGGCCTCGGAACACTCTCGTCCCTCATCGCGCATGGATCACTCTCGCGCTTCCTCATGCTCAGAACACTTTCGTTCTTTCTCACGCTGTGTGACCCTTCCACCACTCACTGACTCTGATTGGGGCTTCCAGTCATCAGCGCCAAACAGTGACGATTTGCACCTCTCTCCTCGAAGGTCATAAGATCGGCGAAACGTCCCGTTGCGCTTCATGATTCGGACAGTGACTCCGATGCCTCAGCGGTTGTGCCCAAGTCACAAAAGAAGAACAAGAAGAGCAAGGCAAAGGTGAGTCTGGTTTGATGGGACTAGGTTCAGAATTAACTTTCTGTCACATACCAGACCCGCCGCGCTGAGGCTTTCGAATCTGAGGTATGGCTTCAGTACATCGTAAACGTGCGTGCTGACGACGTGATCCAGCAACCGAAGATTCAGCCAGAAACTGTCGGCCCCACCCAGCGAAAAGCTGCTTGATATGTCAAAAAGAGCCGTGCGTTGGACGACGGTTCGAGTGATTGGCCGAGTCACGCCCAGATTGTAACCCCCCTTGGAAAGAAGGAGATCCGTTTGCTTGAGCAAAATGAAATCATGCGTTCTGTCATCCGCCATGCGATCGCTGCCCTAACCAAGGAGATGGTCCTTCACAACGCGTGGCCGGAGGCCAATGAACGTATCAGCTATGGGAAGACTCTCCTCCTCAATGCCTGTCGGACCCTTGTCAATGAGTTTCCCGAGGTCGAAAACATCGAGCTACGAATCAAACGCGATGGCACCTTTAGTCATAAGCTTTCGGATGTCGTAAGTCCCGCGTTTATTCATTAGTTATACTACTGTGTCTGTACAGGTCGTCAGCCGACTCTCATCGCTCCGCCTTCCTGCTAAGTAGGAGGCTCTAAAGCGTATCCCATTCTACAAACTTGGTCTTGGGGAAGAGGCCGTCGCCCGCATTGACTCCCTTCTTAAGAAACACGCATATGTTTGTCCAGGAAAATGGGGAGGGGAAGATGGGAAAGTACGTGCTTTCTTTTCACCAACTTTCCGGTCGCTCATCTACTATCCAGACTTGGGAGCCTGATGTCAAGCAGGTTTTTTTGCATCCAGCTATCGTGGACACGCTCAAGGCCGCTTATTTTGCCAAACCGTCGTCCCTTGGCTACGAATATCTGGACAAGTTCAATGCAGGGAAGCAAGAGCCCGAGCTTCCTTTCCCGCTCATAGCTCTGAGCGCAACTGGGGTTCGTAAACTATATTGCTGAGCTCTTTTATTCGTCTCATTATTTAATTATGGAAGGTTTTCCACGGGATATACGAGTACAAGACAGGCGCACAGGTAGAAACGAACTTCGACGGGAATACCTTTATCAGCACATACACCTCGCACATCCGTTCCTTGGAGAAGTTAAAAGACGAGAAGCCGGCAAGGTATCGCCACATTATGTCGACACTTTACAGGCTGGCGGTGTACGTCGTTTCATAGTTCTAATTCTATCAATACTTATGTTCTCTCGTCTTAGTTCGCACCCTACCGATATTGGCACAGCTGGTCCTGGTGACGTATTCGATCTCATTGAAGATTAGATGTCCTATTCCGATTTCGTACCATCTTTTCAAGTAGAATATACACTCATTTCATCCTTATTAATTACATTCTTTCGCGTCATACCTTACTACTGCCAATAATAGTATCATTTCATATTAAAATTATGTGAAGTGTAGATGGAAATATAGGAAAAATGAAGAAGGAATAGCTGGATAATCATCAGGAATCACTGGAAAAAGAAGAAGGAATGGATGGGTAATCATAAGAAATCACCAGTAATTGAGGGAAATTATGTGCTCATTTCCCAGGAACCGAATCAAAAATTGGAAATCCAGTAATCACTGTAATTAGAAGAAATTTCGAGAAAATAAGCGTAATTATGAGTACTTTCTTTCAATTTCCAATCCCCGATTTTCCTGATGAAAGACACACACCTTTCCTCAAGCGCGATCGCCAATAGTATAGCCTTTAAAACATATCCAACTTTCAGACAGATTGGTTGGCTGTAGGGAGAACAATCAAATCCAAGAGGCTAATGCGTTGTTTAGAGATATGTAGCCAAACTTTGATCATAATCCTGCACTTTTGATGTATCTCCTTTGACATTCATTTCGTGCATATGGAGACATACATACATCTCCTCAATCTTCCAAATTTTTTAGTATTCCGTCTATAGTTACATTAGGCTCACCATCTATGTACCCAGATTTATTTTAAGTAGAAAACTCCCTTCAGAGGAGAGAGATTTCGTGTTTTTTGCCCACACCTTCCCCCTACCTGGATAACATTTCACCACCTTCTCTGTGGGCAACATGGTCTGTGTAAGTTGATATAAGGGACTCATAAAGCACCCATAGGTGTCCTAATTATGTTCAGATATTTTTTATTGATGGAGGTATGGCTTGATAACTGATCCCAGGTATACCTCCTCATCCCCCACTAAACACTACTATAGCATGGAGGCGCTCACTTTTAAACCTAGTGAACCTTTTTATAGCTTGTATAACTACCCTTTAGCCAATTCAAATACACTTGCAATGACCTGATAGCCTCCCAGGAACTGAGATGGTTTTTGGAGATATCAGGCCGTGGTACCCTTCATACCCATAAAATAGTAAACATAGATGTCCATAATTCTTTTAAATAGCTATCCTGGTAGCTCTATGTGTTTAATGTAGATATAGGTACCTTGGGAGTGGGTGAGTAGAGGTAGGAAGCTGGGGTATATTACACCTGCAGAATAGATATGTTCTGGCCATCCCACAGCCCTGTAGTTACATACCCTCCCTCACACATACTAATAATGAATATCCAAGCTGGCCATTGGGCCTCATAGTCTCTCTGTAGCTGGTTATGGGTACTGGGGATGAGCATGCATATTCATGTAGGTGATTACACAACTCTGTGGCCTATTTACATGCAGGTAGCCATATAATACTACTCTACAGACTTATTGTGTGGGCTTAGGCAAAGAAAAGCGAAGGGAATGGACTGGGAACAGTGGAATACAGCTGCTCATCGTCACAGACAGTGAGCACGGAAATAGTCACATGCGCCAACGCTGTGTCCGCATTTGGCAACGGAGCATGGTAGGAAGGCGCATGTGGTGCCGCTGATGGGACGACCTTCCCAATGCGGACCCTGAGAACGGCGGGAAGGTACACCAGATAATACTTACCGAGGGAGGGTTAATTCGATGAAGTCCCCCAGGAGTTATTCAAGAATTAACCAACTGATGGGAATATCGATGTAACATTGTAAGCCCTCTCCTTAGAAGGGGTCACGCAATCACTGACCCCTTCTAACTAGAGGCGTGATGTGGTAACCGTAGGTGGAGTGAAGGAAAATTTTGCTGACATTCCAAATGTCGAGATCATCGTCTGAGACGAAGCCTGGGCCGTTGAAAAAAATATGGTAATGTTCATCCGGACTTTCCCTCTCCCTCTACTAGTAAACTCCATCATTCTTTCAGGACGTTTTTCTTTCCGTGACACAAGGGGACCAGCGCCTGCCTCAATTTCGAAATTTTTGGATTTACAATAACAACGCGTTCGGACTTTGTTGTGGTCCCCGACTGCCAAGCGCGACGAGAATCCAGGATGTTTTTTACGGACGCCCTCCCGGATGAGTGGTAAAGGAGTCGGCTTGTTTTTTGATCATCTACTGGCGATCCTGTTTGTGAAACGATGGTGACAGGCGGTAGTGGGTGTGGCGATGGTAAATTGATGTCTGTTTCGCCAAGCGCACCCGCCTCGATCCCTCCCTCAACATCTGTACAGAGCGCCGCGTAACGAGCTGCGTCACGCGCAGCCATAGCAGTAGCTTCACCAATGTTTGAAGGATTGGCCTCAATTTCTATATCCGATTCAGCAGAATCGTCGTCGCCATCTTCCATCAAGTCCTCATCTTCATCCTCATCCGATTCATCCTCATCCCCATCCCCATCGCTATCCCCTCCTTTGGGTTGGGCAGCAGAAATGTGACGTCTTCGCTTAGCGCTGCCAAGAGCTTGTAGTTGAAGCGGTTTTGTTGGAGTGAGTGAGACAGGAATGAAAAGAACATCTCGGCAAACATGAGCCGCTTCGTTATATGCAAGTTCCACCAAACGATTCAATCGAACTTCGGTGAGGGAAGAGGTAAGCAATGGAGAGTCGTCGTGGACAGCTTTCTGCATGTCGGTATCTGGGTTAAAAATATATCCAGAGGCAGACGTCCACTCCCTCTTGACTTTGAGAAGTCCTGATTCGAGTATCCGCTGTCGCGCCAGGATATGTTGGACCATCTTTGGAAAATCGGCGTATGAGAAATTTGGAAGCAATTGACGTCCGATCCCGAAAAAGTGCTCAAGAAATTTGGTGTTGAACTTTTCGGGGCAAAATGCCTCCTCGGGGTACTACCTTGCATAGGCCAGGGCGAGCAAGACTAATGTATCGCAAAGTCGGTTGAAAATATGAAAGCTTGCCGGCGATATGAAGGATCGCGCTGGCGAATAGACAGCTAGTACACGGTCTTCGACTTTCATAGATGGACTCATCCACGCCTCAAATAAGGTTCCTGTTACAATAATGTCAGTTAGGAACCATGCCATCATATCAAACGCACCCACGATAAATAGATAACAAAACAAGCCCTCAAAGTTCGGGCGTACTATCGTGTACACCCCATTTTCTTGCGAGGTTGCTGCCGTCAATGCTTGTGTATGAAAAATTCTGCGTGCGGCGCCGTCATCTTGTTTATCAACATTTTCGACATCGCGAAGGACTAGTCCAGATCCCGATATCTCGTAGAGATCAATGAAAGACTGGTGAACAAGAAAACCTATTCCCAAGCTGGCAGTATGGGTCCCATATTGCGGTTGATTTCGGCAGGTTTTTCGGGAGTGCGGGGGGTCTGTAATAGAGATCGTTGGACCTGCGCCAATAAAGACTGGGGCCTGAAGATGGATCCCGTACAGAGGGTAGTCATACTTGAGAGCAGGAAGCTCCGACTTCTCATGATCCATGAGGGATTGTGCTGACAGCTCGCTTGCAGCGCCATCCGCTGTTAAAGCCACAAAAGGGATACTTAGCTGAGCGGCCATCTTCTGTAATTTTAAATGGTGCATATGAATATCCTCCACAGTCTCTTTGCCATCTGTTGGTAGGATGGCGATGACAATCGGAGGGCAATGACGAAGTGGAATCTTTAAATCTTTTAGTAAAAACTTGGAATCGGACAGAAAGAATTCAACGCACTCTGGCAAGGATCGCACGAGTTTGAGAAGCGAAGGCCTTCTTTTTCGATGCACAGGCAACAATCTCATCAATATCCTCAGCGTCGTCAACCTCCACGTCAGCAAGGTTGAACGTCGTTCCCAGTACATGCGCACCGCACTGGGTTGAAATATTCAAGCGCTGACGTACTTCGGTGCAGTCTAAACCAACTACAATTGGACCTTTGTAGTTCACTGAATCGATATACCTCTTGACACGAGCAACGTTCTCAAAAATGAGATATGGGTTTTGGAGAGCATCTGTTGACTTCGTGACTAGTGTTCTTTATTGGTGTCAACATCGGATTTGTTTACGAATAACCCAGTTGACTCACCGAAGGTATCGAACAGATGGCCCAGCAAACTCAGCGCAGAATATTTCGTATTGACGATTGGAGTTTTGGCCATACCCTCGCATGGCAATCATAAAATCGAGGTAGTTTGGTGAATACCGAATCCCGTACTTTAACTTGTCGTTTCCAGATGTTTCCCGCCGAACGCGGTCTTCAAGGACATCGCAAACCTCAATAAAGCGCTCATAATTGCTTAGCTTTCCTTCCTTTGCGCTCTTGTAAGGCCGGAGAAACGCATCCTCTGGCTTTCCGGTCTTCAAAGAATCGTGTATATCGAACAAAACCGGGTCACTGAGCTTCGCGCTAAAGGATCGCGCTCCGATTTGTCGAATCATATCAGTTTGAGCATATTTGTCGCGCCTCTCTAGAATTTGTCGGCGTTCCTCAGGAGAAAGACTCGCTTCACGAAGCTTCTGAAAATGCCAAAGAGAATTAGAATTAATTTATAGATTCTCAGGGAATGACATACGAGTCGTCGCACAGAGCGCTTGAACGATTGATCGGAAGCGATTTCTTGGCAAGGTGGGCATATCTTATCGTGACTGATAGTGGTCCCTTCGCAATGTCGGGATTTTATGAACCCGTTGATGTAATCAACCTCCCACCTTGCCCACGAGCGCAGAATCAGGTCCACCTTGAGTCGCTCGGCAGAAGTCCACTCAGTCATGGACTTGCGATCATTTCCATCCTCAGGTACGTTGTCAGGATTTTTTATGAGCGGTATTCCTAGTTCCAATGGGCCTCATTGAACAGACTGTCGAAGTTCTCCGAGCCTTTTGTAAGGGAATAGCTGACGCGAAACTCAGGCAAGCAATTGAGGTGATATTCCACCAAAATCGCGAGTGCACGTTAGATCAATATATTCCTGATACTCGGGACCATTGAGATGGATGCACACATTAACGGTGGGCACTTTTTTGGGAAGTGATTGGCCTTGCGATTTTGAGAAAAATTGAGTTATTGATGGTGTCTTCGATGTGGTGTAATGATTGGTTAGGTGGGGAATGGGCTTTCAGAGCAATGGGACGCACCGTACTAACAACTTTAGTGCGATATTTTATTCCAACGATTTCTTCGCCGGTATGTTCTGGCATCGAAGGCATATCCGTTTTCTTTCTTCCAAAAAAATCGGAGATACTTCCCATGGCCGGCTGCGAGCAAACCCTGATTAGTTCAATGCATTTTAGAGACTTCACCGTTCTCACCTTCCCAATTTCGGGCCTTTTGACAACGCCCACTCTGACTATCTTCTTCCCATTAATTGAAGCACATTTCGCTTTATGCGCATCCAAGTTTTTGAGCTCATAGGGCCATTCAGGACGGTTACTCAACTTAACAACATTGCGGCATCCTTTGCACCTCAAATTTGAAGGTGCTAGAGATAGTTCCTCTACCCATTCATCGAAGCTGAGGAGATCCTTTCGTGCACTGCTGGAGAGCTTGGTTTTTCGGGGCTTCGTAGCAGTAGCAGATGATCGCTTCCGAAAATTTCGTTCGCGCTCTGAGAGTTCTTCATCGGAATCGGTGGAGATAGAGCGCTTTGAGCACCTTGAAAGTATAATCGAGTTACATCTCATCAAATAAGAGTCAACAAGGACACATACCGTAAATTTGGATTCTTTGATTCGCTTCCCCTGGCATTTGCTTTCTGAGCGCAACTTTCACGGTCGACGTCCACAGGACCAGCATATGCTGCCACTTCCATACCCCTGATTTCTTCTTTGGGAGTGTTTTCGGAGTGAAAGCTCTCTGTATTGTGAAGCCTTTTCTCATGCAAAACGCCTTTCGCCGTTTCGACGAATTCAACATCTCCGGAATCATATTCGATGTCGGCGCGTGTGGGGCGGGTGATTCTAAATAAAGAGGTTTATCCACCAGCTCAAAGAGGAGAAAGTCAACCACGGCTCTATTGGCACTATCAAGCTCGGAAAGCTCGGAATTTGGAGCTGCGAGGGATGGAATATGAGGCTCGTTGGAAGGATAAATGCACTTCAAGTGTATTCTGGAATAGAGACAGCCTACAGGATGGAAAGGAGATGCATTATGGGGTTGGTTGTGGAATGACTCATGCGGCCCACTCTAGATTATGATTTTTGATTTTTACTTGCAATCCGTGCTTCTCCAAATACCTTTCGACATATCAAACAAAGTGCCGTAGTGTGCTGCAAAAATTTCCAGATTTTTTCCTATAAAATTCACAACAGGGGAAAGACTTTCGTCATTGTCATTAAACCTCCTTTATTTGTGTGTTTTCTCCTAAACGAGAAAATTATGAATATTGGTAGTTATGTAGCTCAAAGTGTGAAGAATAGCTCTACCAAATTAATTTTAAGATGGCGTGAGGGAGCAGTCCAAGCGAGTCACATCTTGAGTTTTTCTGGAGTAAAGGTCAGACAAGACCAAAGCCATCGAAGGTTGCCAAACATTATCATCGTAAGCACAGTAAAAACACTTTCACCCTACAGCCCCACACCTTCGTAAAATTCATCCTAAACCAAAGTGACCTTGACCCCAGATTGACCCTATATCTCTACGAGGCTAACATCGATGTTGTTCAAGGGATATGAACGGCTTTCATGTTTATTTTTATCCACATAGCGCTGAAGTCTCTGCTTCGTCATTTCCACAAATTTGTATTCCACATCCAGTTGTACTACAGAACAGAAATACAAGGAATACAAATCATAAGTGGTATATTGACATCCACCCAAAATCTATATATTCTCAAGGAGAGGGCTTAAAACGGGGGAGAAGGGAAGTTATCGAGGGAGAGATGTCGGTATGAGGAATCCTCAGTCACGAACTTCAACTTGCCATGCATTCCTTCCATATGGAGTGTAACGTAGACTTCCAAAACGTAGTCGAGGAGAGGGATAGCGGTGTATAGCTCAAGTAGGGGGCAGAGATTGTGACAGGAATCGGGTCATGACTCTCCAACTGCTGTACATACATCGTAATGAAAGCTTACGGTTTAGATCATGGCAAACGGTACTCACAATTTCGAAAAACCCTCTCGCAAACTTCCCTGGCAAACGTTCTCCTGAAGTGTTTAGCCGCTCGCATGGAGCATCGCGATGGATGGTCGGATGATGCATCGAGCCGTCGTTCCCGTCATAATTCGGTGTGTATAACTGTATAAGTATGGTTGGTCTGTAATAGTTAAGCAACCCGTGAATACCGCATGATGTGGAGACTCGGAATAGCCGGATGGAGGGGAGGTTGGAGAAAACAGATCAGCCAATCCAATCTATAGCACGAAGGTATGGGTCGCCTCCCAAAGCTTTGTGAGATGATTGGTAGTACTCACCTGCCCGAGTACCCAAGAGGAATTTGACTAAACCCATCTTGTCGACCTTTTCCCAGTGTTCATGGGTGTACACCATCGTTGGGTGCATAGCGCCAGTAAACGCTCACGGGACAGAAACGTGAAGCGCTACGATAAAGGTTGCGCATGGGTCTCCTAGAGTCTGGTTATCTTGACAAAGACATGGCGCCGGTACCCACCTTACCGTACTCATTTCCGCCACCCCTTCCACAGCATTCATAGGTAAACAGGTCCGCATCATTGTCATTGAGCGCATCGGGCAATTGGACGCTTCGGATATGGTGGATCTTGCCATCCAACGACCTTTGTGTAAGGTGAACCGATGATACTGGTATAGAGGATAGACAACAGTTGAAATGGAGCGACGGGGGTTATCACGGTCAGTGAGAGGAACGAGCCAAGAACGAGCGCCGAAGGCCCGAAAGCTACAGAATATTGCGATCTGTCAGCGATCTCGATCTGATGCGGGAGTATAAATAGCTATCAGCGCCATCAGGTGCCATCAGTGCCCGGAAGACCCCACTCTCAGGCCAATTACCCCCAGACAAACAAAAGGCCTCTGAGGGCCCAGAAGCACGTCAAGGTTCTAGGCCTGAGGTGCAAGAAACAGGCGCTGCGAAAAGAAGCACTGCTAATCAAGAATAGTGTTGTTGGCGAAACTTCGCCATCTCGCCTCGCCACGCCTCGCCACCTGGCGATCGCCAGGTGGCGACCAAAAATTGCTGCAAAGGGGTGGCGAGACCTGGCGATCCACCAGGTGATATTCGAACTTTCAAATGTTTTCTGCTCACACTTCTAGTATGAAAATCTTCAAAATCATTATCAGCGGAGATTCAACAGTTCCATTTCATTGAAATGGCGTTCCAATTGACGAAAGCTTGATCTGTGGGTTTTGAATACATCCGCAGCGCAATTCGGAAGGTGCCGTGCTCCTCACTATCCATTATTGGTGCTACATTTGTGAAGCTCTCTGGAAATTTCTGGCTAACTTGATCCTTACACGTCAACTAGAGCTTATGATACTGTTTTTTGTGTTCTGAACAACTCACTGAATAAATATCCGTCTCGCCAGTCTCGCCACCATTCGCCAGGTTCCCACGCCAGCCGCCTCGCCACGCCGGCGACTGGCGAATGCTCTGGGAGGTTTCGCCATCAACACTAATCAAGAAGCCTCGTTTTTCCAGGCAACCGTTATTTATATTCAACAATTATCAGGTGACTGTATCGATTCTTGCGTTTGCAGAACGGACATCGTCGTAGACAAGATGGGGGAAGTATACCTCGGTCCAATGTCGACCCGATGTCACTTCAGGTATCGTTATCAGCACGCACACCACCCAGGGTAATAGAGTGCCTGTTTATTCAAGCACGATTTGAAGCGCGGGACTCTTCAGGTTTGCATTAAGTTTTTTAACGTCTACGATAATTGCAGAACAAAGATGCCAGATGATATAACGTGATGAATGGCGTACATACGGGGATCGTAGAATGCGATGTCGATGCTCGATTGCGAAGCCAGAGTCCATAGGTGGCGAAGCGGGCTTGTTGGCATGTTGTTTTTGATACGGGAGGGCGGTACAGTGTAGTCACGTTGATCAGATGGCGGTGGTACAGAACCAAGCTCCGCCGGTGTCAGACCCTGCCTTCAGCTCAGTTCGCAGGCTGAGTTGAGCGTCCTGCCTGTATCCTGCGGAAATGGACGCAAACCCTAGAGGGTACGAAAGCCTCAGTAAAGCGTGTGCATACACCGCATGATGCATCAAAAGGTTTCCAACTTGCATCGTTGTGTCGTGTGGCTAGACGGTTGACCCCAAGAGTTGTCTCAAAATGAGGAGGGCGCTCGAGTCCAAACTTTCCTCATTTCGCCTGTGGTAGGGGAAAGACACGCGATCTTTATACCTAGACCGCGGAAGTGAGGAACTCAAGCCAGAAATACGAAAGGGCCAACCGATAACTCACAATCGAACGTCAACGTATCTGGTCAATAGTACAGTGAACGTAGCCTCGCCCCCCCATTCCGTAACCACCTGCATGAAAGAAGGCACCGCTGTGGCTTTGAAATCAAGCCACAGCGCATAGCTTCGTCTCCTGAAGCTTGCTCCTGCGGCTTTAACGTCATTCGTACTCATGATGAATCGTGACGATCTTACCCACCTTGGATCAAGGTACAGCTAGCAGACGTCCGACATCCGGTGTGAAGGTTTCCTGCTCATCAGGTTCATGTCGACGAGTCGCTTGATTTGCTGCTGCCGACGGTCACGCTGTCTCGGATGTGGGCGCTTCGAAGCTTATGGTGATGGAGGAACCGACGCAAGACGGTGCTGAAGGGGTGAGATTGTAGCAACGGATACAGGGAGCAGAAGACCGTCGTGGAGGCTGTGAAGTATGATCAGCCGCCGTGTAAAAAGGAGTGATGGGAAAGAGGAGGGTCAGGGGGCATGAGCGGCAACGGAAGGGAAAGAGGGTGAGAGGAAGATAACTTGAGGGAGTGAAGATTGTCCAACAGAAAGGGGGCGTAACACCTAAACTGACAAGCGGGGAAAGAAGGGGGGAATATGTGAAGGCGTGGAAGAAGCGCAAATGGAACATGTGCACAAGGCCCGACTGACCGGAGGGGCGGAAAGAAACAGAAAAGAAAAGGAGGGGAAAAGAAAGATGTACGAGATGCCCGCAGTACGCGGGAAAGAAAGAACGTGTACCAGCAGAACGCAAGCCAACCCCCGGGAGGGAGGATGGTCAAGACCAGAAGTAACGATGGTATGGCAAATCGGAATGGAATGGAGGACGGAACGAGGTGTGAGGGGGGGGGGGCGAGAAAGAGGGTAAACCAACCGCACCGATTTGTGAATGTCCACGAAGGTTTCGAGCGTGTTTTGATACATAAGTACTAGATGAGGATAAAGTGAGCGGGTGAGAACGACTCCGAGTGGAGGAAGACGTACACTTTATATACCTCAGTATTCCCTACACACGATGAGCGCGTCGGGTCCTCCATGATGCAGAAGTGAAGGCACACTTTTCCTCGGCCATCCGCCAGAAATTGTAGCCGCTCGAGCATCAGGGTATGGCTGTTGAGATCTGAGAGAGTGGTCAGTGGGACAATGGAAGGATGGGCCGATTCATCGATCTAGGTCTAGATAACGAAAAGGAGTGGGCATCAACTAGGATGAACCAGAAAGGAACAAAATGACAAGAGGGAAGAAGATGGGCACGCGCTGAATACAGGCCAACGACCTCGAAAAAAGAGGGATAATTGAAGTGAAGAAGGGTGAATGACGAAAAAGCTCATTGGCGGAAAGAGCACGAGTATGATGAGTCACGTGTGGGTCACGCGTTGACGACATCGATGAAATTAACCAAGTTGGGGAGGAAGATGAAGAGGGGAGGGGGTGGGCTGAGTGGGAGGGATGTGGATGGGTGGGTTCGGACGAGGGTGTTCAAGGTTCTTGATCATTTGGTGGTTGGGACGGCAGCTGAGGCGTCCCCGTATTTCATTGTGCATGGTGCGTTCTCACATGAAAGAGTTGTTCGCTGTGTTGATCTGGGTGTATGCGCAGAATTCATGTTCCCAGCTGTATCTCTGAACTCGACGTTCCGAGAGGTGGTGGACAAGCCGTTTGTGAGTGAGCTTAGGGAGTGGGCAAAATGAAAAATGATGTCATTGCGATATAATTAAATTGTGTGTACCTGGCGCCCACAAGCTAAAATACTTACGTGCAGTAACCATATAAACATTTTTTTTCAAAAGCCAACCTCACCAGCTTCAAACAGCCCCTCCGCCCTCTTCTCATCTTGTCGACAACATAAGTAATCCTCAAATCGCTCTTCGGAACTACTGGGAACACCTCGCTGGCCAACACGGTGAACGCCCAGCAGGGAAAGTGAAACCAATGGCCAATGGCAACCGTCGAAGTTAGTGCAGGGTTGGGTACTTCAATAGTGCCGAAATATATTGATTCAGAGCTATTCAGAGTGACGGCCATCATCAGCCATTGACGTTGGGTCCAGACCCCATTTGGAGAAAGTTTCCTAGGTTAGGTCGGGGAGGTGTCAGTCAACGCCTCAGGCGGACATATGAACCAGTAACCTCCCCGTCGACAGATATGGCCTCTCTCTTACTCTGATCACTGACCACGTTCGACTACCTTGATGAGCGACTTATTCCGGGACCGACAGCGGACACTTTTCTCCCGAGAACCAAGTGACAGCGACGCGACTCCGATGAATAGCGCAAACCTAATTCAGGGAGCGACCTTGGTAGGCGCGATGCTGGCGTACCCGTACGTGTCCCTCCCTTCCCCTCCCTTTTAACTCCCTTCTCATGAACGCGCCTTTTCAAAAGGATGTATGGAATTTTAATATGTCAAGTCTCATCATACTACAAACGATTCCCGGACGACTTGCGGCATCTCAAGGTTCTGGTTCGTCCCCTTTCCCCTTCCCACTTCTCAATTAAAAAGATTACTGACGCTATTATTATTTAAAGGTCGCGCTTATACTCCTCGTACGCGGTAGTACCCCCCCTCTCCATCCTCCCCCCAAATCAAATCAAAACGACTCATACTGACTGAGTCGGAACAGACTTCAACCGTCGGGCTCGTCATCAACGTCAATCTTATATGGTACTATTGCATACAACGCGGGATTGGGGTTGATCCACATACTTTTCGTTTTTGCGATCATTGGTGAGTTTCTTGTCGTTTTTTTTGTTTTTCTCTTTGAAAAAGTCTAATTTTGGATGTGGGGGGTAGGACAATATCGGTTAGTTCGATTTATCCCGCGCTTTGTACTCCACTTATTAATGGCGAGGAAGGCGTTTTTTATTCCAACTGTATGTTCAGCGTGTTTCTTGAACGACATCCCGATAATTTTATCTTTCTACTAGGAAAGCACTTGTTTTCTTGCAGAAGCGTACGCTACATTCTTCCCTCCCTTCCTCTCTTGTTATTTACGTCCAACATGCACTTTGTAAATTAAACAGCCTATTCCTTAAACGGATGTGGGCATGTATGTTCCGTTCTCTTCCCGTCTTCCCTTGACTCTCTACTCACATTTGTAATGCTTAGTGTCGAGGAAGAGGTATCCCACTGTTCTCGCCGTAGGTTCCTCTTCTGTCTTTGGTGTAAAGGTTGACGACGGGGATATTCAAATAGTTCGTCCCGTTTATGCTTGGCTGGGGTGTGTTGTCATTTTTCTTTTCTTTTTTTGAATGCTGACTTTGTTCGGTCGGTGTGTAGTGTTTACGATCGGTAACTAACCCTGTACTCTATCCCACCTTCCTGAATTCTAAAATCCTACCAAGTATACATCCAGGGAATGTATGTTTCCACCTCCCCACCATTTGACCTGCCTAATCTAACCACATCCCACTAAAAAGGTTCCGTCACTGGTGTTATCCTAAACTGCAACTCAACCAGGTCAGTCCTTTCCTTCTTCCCCTTCTCCCCCTTTCTCCCCACTCTCCAACTAACCCCTCCTCTTCCACTGGCAGCCCTACCTCTTCTTATGTTATGGCTTCCGCTTCCTCTCAGACGGCTTCATCGCCGGAACGATGTGCACGCTCCTCTACCAACAAACGTCAGACATGCCAACCGAGATCAAGAACAGACCGAATTTCGTGAGGATTGTGAATTCGTTGGTGGTTTGGACGCTTTCTACTGGATTGGTTATGTGGTGTGTGTGTTTCTTTTTTGTCTTCCCTTTGTTTCGGACTTTTTTTTCTTTCTTCTTTCTCATAGTTATGCATATTGATATGGGTTGATCTCAGGGTTTCAGCTGTTGCGTTTGTGCTTACGGTGAGTTGCACCATTTTTTATTTAGTTATCGCGTGAACAACTCCACTTCAGTATATCCTACTCCCGGACACATTCATCGCGCTGGCTATCTATCTCGTCCGGGGGAACAGTAAGTCTTCGTTTTCCCTTCCATCCATTCCCAGGCTTACTAAGAACTTGTGCGCTACCTACCTAGTATATGCCAATGCCGTTCTTGCACTGTACGTTCTCCCTCCAAATCGCTGGCGTATAACTACCGATGATCTGCAGATTACATGTGAGAACACGATACCGAAGAGTAGCGAATGAAGTGATTTCACTGCATGTCCAAGTTCAGACGGTTAACGGCGTTGGCAATCTGGGTGGAGATTCCGATGGGCTAACGAGGCGCTCACGAAGTTGAAGATTTGAAGGCTGTGACGCGTTCACATTTGGGTCTTGACGCGTAACGGATCGATAACTGTGGTTGTCGTGCGTTCACAATGATACTTAGCCGCGATTGGCGCCAATGTCGTTGCCAGTGGTACCTTCATCTGCCTGGAGGAGACGGTACCTTGCTTTTGGGGGACCAGGATGCATGTTGGGGTTCATAGTAGATCAACTGTACATAGTCGTGCACCTGTACCCTTTCTAGGCATTTTAGAAGTTCAAACGAAGAACGGACCAAGGGACTTTTTAAATTCCCACGCTTGACTTTGTTTTGGTATGCGTTTCAAGAAAGCTCAATTTTGACCCCTTCAAATTTTCGAAAACTTGAGTATCTACTACCGTCTTGCAGCATTTGCTGGCTCGGACCAACCATGTCTATTGTGATAGAAGTGGGTTTCATCGCGCACTGCACCTCATGAAGTTCTTGGCGGCAGATAGTACAGGCAAACCTCGGACGGCCGCAGTTCTTCGGCGTTTTGGCCGCACAACAAGGAAGTATTTAGATATGGTCAGGCGAGACTTGGCAGAGTCGAATGGTACGAACCTCTATGTTAACGGTCAGATACTTGACGCTTCACGGATTTAAGCTACTCGAGGCTCAAGCCTCAAGGCGTCGATTCAAACGAGATTTATCATGTGCGGTGAGTCATGCTCTAATGTTGTAGTCGCTTGGCAGAATCACTTATAGCACGAAGCACTGTGTCAACGCTCAGATACTCAACACTTGTGGGCGGATTTAAAGCTGCTCAACGCGTCGATCCAAACCGTGACGATGTCAAGTTATGTGCGATGAGTTAGACTCTGATGTAGAAGCCACGAACGGCAGTGCAAACTTAAAGCTGCTCCTCCTCAAGGCAGCTCAAGGCGTCGATTCAAACGATATTTATCATGTGCGGTGAGTCATCGGACTCTCAAGGGGGTAGCGGGACGTGGATCCCGAACCAAGGGTAGGAGGGGGGGTGTCCGGCCGAAGGCCGAAAAAAAAAAGTTGACACCGTCAATTTCAAATTTTCTCATGCTGGTCTCGTCATAACTATCTTTACACTGATCATGACCTACTTGCAACCAGTTACACCACTCTCGACGCCTGGGTTTCTTGCGATGCGGCTGGCCGTGGTGGATCCCTCACGAATACCCTGTAGCCGTTGTTTCAACAGCCTGCTATATGCATCCTTACGACCCCTAGGCTTAGTTTACGGTCAACCACCTGTGTGTAGCTTACTTGTTACACGGAAATTTTTGAATTCAAAAAAAAAAAAAACATGAGTATGGGGAAAACATACTTTATTAGGAAGGTAATGGTGGGGGGGGGGTGTCAGGTGGAACCCTGAAAAAAAAATAACGAGTGTTGGTCTCTTTTCCACATTCCACCACCCCCTTGCGGACTCTAATGTAGTATCCGCTTGGCAAAATCACATATAGTGCGAACCACTGCATCAATTCTCAAATACTTGACACTAGGCGGATTTGAAGCTGCTCTAGGCTTCGATTCAGACGAGATTATCATGTGCGGTGAGTCAGACTCTAATGTAGGAGCCGCTTGGCAGAATCACATATAGTATCGACCACTGCGTCAACGCCCAGCGCTCAGATACTTGACACTACACGGATTTAAAGTTGTTCAAAGTGTCGATCCAAACGATATCAAGTTGTGTGCGGTGAGTCAGACTCTAATGTAGGAGCCGCTTGCAGAATCACATAGAGTACTAACCAGTGCGTCAACGTTTCGTCAACGCTGAAATAATTGACACTACGCGGATTTAAAGCTGCTCAAGGCGTCGATCCAAACGATATCAGGTTATGTGCGGTGAGTCAGACTCTAATGTTGTAGCCGCTTGGCAGAATTTCAGATAGTACCAACCAGTGCGTCAAGGCTCAGATTCTTGACACTAGACGGATTTAAAGCTGTCGAAAAGCCAACGTCACGTAAATGGTTTGAGTTGGTGGATTTGGCGTAAATTGCATCTATTGCTTGTTTGGCAATCCCAGGTGAAACAAATATTCGCAGTAAGGTGCCATCGCGAATGGTCCAAATGTGGTCCTAGTTCAAAATAATAAGTTTCTCGTTCACATGTTTTATTAACTTGTAGGTAATAGGGAGTCTGTCAACTATGAATAAATACTCCTTCATAAAATTTCTCAAAGAAGCGGTCAAGCAACGGTAAAGAAAATACAAGAGGGTATTTGGAATTACAAGCGGATCACATTCGTGAAGACAACGTTTGCGTTGCTCCGTGTTTTTTCCCTTATTCTTGATGCGATGATATGTATTTCAAATTATACTACGTATTTAGGTAGTTATATACTTGAATCCAGAAGCCCTCGCGCGTTTGCGAGGGTCCCTATTCAACCCGAGTGTCACGACGACCTGGACATTTCAACAGGGTAACGAGCATGAACGAGCGGTTAAAATCTCGAAAGATCAAGGAAAATTCTTGGATATAGGCAATGGCTCGCTGCTCAGATGGTTGTGTGGTTCATTTCCTTAGGACGAAGAAGCTCATGCAAGTAAAAAGTCAAGTTGACATCCATCGGAGACGCTTCACATCGCATTAATCAACAGTGCCCTCAGCAACTCAAACATCCAAATTGCCTGCGATTACCTGGCGGGCTTGCCTCCTTGACCGGAAACAGGTTTTCTTTCCGTTGGCTGATCTGCGAGGAGGATCAGAAGCGCCGTGCTCACCAAAATTATCTGCTCTCCCCGAACTTCGTAATTGAATGCAACGGACAAAAATATAATTGATGGTGTTGTACATTGTCCCTAAACTTCAGCTAGCATCTTCCCTACATAGCAAAAAAATCATTTCATGTTGATCAAACTAGAGACAGTCACCATCTACGATGTCCCAGATTCCAAAAACACCGCCAAAGTAACTCTGTTGTACAGGTAATCAAGCTCAACGAAGCACAGTAAGTGGGGGAAGCACAACGCACATTAACGCAAGACATGGCGCCATTGAAATGCAACCCATTGAAATTGGCCGGCGTGGAGGAAAACATGACGTTCCATCCGTCCGCGTAGTCGAGATTCATCAGGTGGGCGTCAAAGCGCTATCACAAGGAAACGTGTAAGTTGCGACTGGGCACGAGCACAGATGAAATGTGCGTACCCGGAGACCAGATCCTGGAGCCGTGCATCCCTATGAAAAAAATTATCAAATAGACGTAGAGTAGTCTAGTCATCCACTGAACTTTATCCGTAAATCCTTCCCACCAAGGACGACACCCGCCTTCGTCAAAGTCGACTATCCAATGACCATACACCCCACGATCCACTCCCTTTAATTTGAGTATTCAGTCACAGTGGAAATGCCAGGAGTCAGCCAAACATACCTTATCCTCGCAATACGTCGGCTTCATCTTCCGACCATGAATCTCAATCTCCGAAGTCCAACACGCCTTCATAGGATCATAGCCACCAACCAAGGGGCCCATCTTCGCCCAATACTTCCTCGTTCCATACCATTCGCAATGCTGCGAGCTCTCCAACGCCAACCGATGAATCTGAGCACGCTGCATCGCCTCCTCCTCGGCCTCCCATTGACGACGCCTCTCTTCCGCCTCCTCTTGCTCCTTTTCCCATCGTGGGCGTTCAGCCTCCCTTTGACGACGCCTCTCTGCCACCTCCTCTTGTTCCCTCTGCAGTTCCCTCTCCTCTTCAGCCTCCCTTTGGCGATGCCTCTCTGCCGCCTCTTCTTCTTCCCTTTGCCGCTCCCTCTCCTCCTCGGCCTCCCATTGGCGACGCCTCTTTGCCGCCTCCTCTCACTCCCTGAGACGCTCCCGCTCCCATCCTCGGCGCTCAGCCTCCCATTAGCGCCGGATGTAGTCTCGTACGGCGGGGTCGTATATGTTTTGAGAGGTGGCGTATTGAATAGAGGCACCGACGAATCCACCAATCATAAATGCGAAGATCGTAAGGATAATGAAGGTTGCGCACGAGTCACCTCTTAAGCGCCTGGGTTCTTTCAAGGCTGGTTGTTAGATGATGATGCTTCAGTCGGGGTGCGAAGCAGTAACGATACCATCTATACTGTGTGAACGACGCGAAGGTGGGATTAAGGGATCGCGCTCCGAGCCGTCTACACCACGATAAGAGGGTGAAGTAGATGGTACACTGTGATAAGGCGGTGGTGGAGTAGACGATAGTTATTTTTATATCTTTGGATGAGAAGTGGAAAAGACTTACATGGTTGAGGAGGGCGCCCTCTGCCTTGATCGTGTCATAGACGTTGCAGATGAAGGGAGAGCTCTGGATTATGTAAGGCCCATGCAACTCTCCCTTTCACCAATCGAAGGTCTCGCGCTTCTCAGAGGGCGAGTTCTTTCTAGTTCCACATTATCATGAACAGATAACTCAATTTCTCACTAGGATAGTACGAGTCGAGCGCTCCTACCATTTTACAGTGCTGTGCTGTCGACGCGTGCCGCTGGATACGAATTTCAACCTCCTTGTTCAACTCTAGGGAAAACATTCCTCGCAGATCTTGCATTTTCCGAAGGCTAGTACGTTAGCGGAGGGCAGGGGAGAACATCATGAACGACATCGGGCCAAGTCTGGGCTGACACACTCAGTTTTCCATGGTGAGTCAATCACAATTCACAGGTTCAAATGTTGCTTAAAATTTTAGAAGGTACGTGTCTGCCGCCAGCTACGTGATACTTACACGGCCTGCAATGTAAGTGATTTTTCATGCCCAATTCATACCTCACGTCCGCTTTCCCAGTGACCGAAATAACATACGTATTACTGAGATTTAGTTGGGCGAATTCGGATTGGCGGAAGACGTGGAAAAGAGGAGATCGGAGCTGTCAGAGCCGGAGTCGTATGAGTGGTGAGCCTGCCAAACTCAGTTCTTCACGTCCCACTCACACGTTCACGCGCTCCTTGCGACGGAATTTTAAAACTTCACGACGCTTGGTCTCCACAAAAGTCTTGGTTCGGGACTACTGTACTAATACGACCAAGTCCTCGGGCCCCATAGGGCGTGACATATTTTCACCATCTCTTCGCCGCTTCAACAGCCGATGTGATGCGTGACGAAGAGTGTGATGGCTTCGGCGCTTCTGCAATTGGTTGAGGATGGCGTTCATGTCAACTTTTCAACGAGCCAGACCAGGCTTTCGTGCCAATGGGACAAGATGGAGTCATACCGGCAACTGAAGCAGAAGAGACTCTTATTGAAGAGGTTGAAGGCCAAGTACTCGACCCCACCACGGCCGTGGAGTGGGAAGGCCGAGGCCAACTTGAATGTAAGAAAATCAAGAACAGGTTGTACACGCAAGAAAACCTCAGATGGTGGGACATCTCCCATTAGAAAGTAGATAATATATACACCGTGTCGTTTACATGCCTATGGGCGCCGCAGGCGCCAGAGGAATCAGCCATTTTAGAATAGGAAAAAATGACTTCGAAAACCGGGGTGATGCGTGACATCACCCTCACTTCACTTCCTTCGATGACCTCTGTGATGCGTGATGCGAAGTCATGGTCGTATTAGTACAGTATGTTCGGCCACCCCTTTGTTAGTATCTATCATTGAGCTGGATTTTCGGGGGTCATCAGAAAGCTGACATTCCGCAGACAATCCTCAGCATTACACTTGACTCCGTTGTCCCAATCTTGGCAGGGAAATTGAGTACGGGAAATTTTTGATCTTCAGCGGCCTTTATTTGGCGAAGTTGGCAACGCACTGCCAGTTGGAAACTTGAAAACAGTCCTTGACATATGCGTGGACTTACAAAATTTGGCCGTACGTCATTCTCGGCTGAGTTTGCAAATGCTATATCAATATTTTCTTATCCTTAGAACCCCCCATGTCTGCCGCAAAGGCTCTGGAACAATTCGTCGCCGACGAGCCCCTTCTCATCACGACCATCGCCTTCCTTCCACCGTCACCACCCCGAAAACCCAACTTGCGTCAAGGTATTGAAAAGAGAAGAGGTATAAGCAAGGTATAAAGTGAGTCCGTTGTCAACCCAAGAGCGCAATTATGTAAGTATGAATTACGCTGACTTAGAATAGCCCATCCACATACAACAATCGACCTTGCAGAAGCCTTGATTTCTGGCGGTCTTACCACCTGCTTTCACCCCTCACTCCTGCAAAGCTGATTGTGCCATTACATCTGATTCCCTGTACCTCGGCAAAGGTACGTGGCGTCAAGAGAGATTGTCATTGTTTTGTGGAGTACGCTGACGCGGTGAGGCTAATCATGGTACGAGCATCATCTTGCTCAGAGCTTATCAACTACTTATCCTAGCTAATATTTTAACAGTGGGTTATCTCTGAACGTCGTCCAATCGGCATACTGAAATACTTGTTGCGCAGACTCCGCGGCGCCGTGATGTATGACAGATATACCTATCTATCCACCCCCAACCGACGTCCCATGCTCACTTTAATGCTACAAGGAAAACTGTTATAAACTCTATCATCGGCGTACTGGCATCTAGTCCGCCGGTTCGCAGCGAAGACGGCCTGGGATAACATCCCCGGTCCTCCTTGCCCATCGTTCTCCAAAGGTGTGATATCTTGTCGCGAAGCGGACCCTGCCTACTAAAGAGATTGACCATAGGCAACTTTTGGCAATTGTTCTACTCATGGTAGGGATTTCCATCAGGCAATCGCGGCCAGGTGTACTTACCGTTTCACGTATTCATCAAGGAACCTACTGAAAGGTATATGAGATGGAGGCGTTGTCGAAGTCAAGGTCGTCTTTGGCCTGGATCACCCGCCTTATGCAAAGTACACGTCTTGATATTTGTTTTCACGATCTAGCAAAAACAACTTTACGTGTTCGATCCGAAGGCTTTGCATCACATCCTTGTAAAGGTCCGTCAGTACCGGTAGTATTAGCTGATGTCGGTCTTCACTGATGACTGCGACGTGTTTAGGATCAATATGTATACGAAGAAACATCTGTGTTTATTCAGTAATTATTCCTCGCTTTCATTCACCATTTTTGATCGTCTGGCTTTTTAGAACGAACACGTACTTTTCGGCAAAGCCGTGTTCTGTACCCTAGGTCCATGGCGCAATTAAATTCTACTACACATCCTCCATCTCACATCCTGGAAGGGGGTTACCACTGGTGGCGAAGGAAGATGTTGAACCCCGTATTTTCCAATGCGCACATACATGGGATGGGTCAGTCGTCGTTTATACTTTCTGATTTTTCGTGTCTTTCAACGCCCCTTCAGTATCCGTTTCTACAGTATAACTCATAAAGTCAATACCACGTGATTGTCTCTGTACATACCAATACAAACTCAAATTCTACTTTAGAATTGAGATGCAATCGCAAAGAAGGTCAAAAACGGTCCTCAAGAGGTAAATATGTCACCAAAAATTCTATACTCTCCTGATCCACCTCCTCTTAGATCGACATGGCTTCGTGGATGGGCCGAACAGCACTTGAAATGATAGATCAGGGTGGATTTGGATATTCCTTCCATGCTTTCAGAGAATTACCACCCTGAAATCCGTATAGTGAGTCAATCAAAGCGCTCTTGTTAGTTCATGCCTCCAGATAAAGTTTGTATAAAAACTGACCTTCGTTCAAGGCCTGCCCCACTGCGAATTGCTTTCTTCTGTGACCAACATCGGTAGCCCCAAATTCTGCCGCTTCGTCGTCGATCTACCCCCATGGAAAAACCTTCGTGCTGTACGTGATTCGCCGATGCCATGCACAGTGCCTTCTCAGAAATCTTTGAGTCAAAAAAGAGAGTGCCGAATCCTCCACCCCCTCCAAGACACCCCTCCTATCCCGTCCCTCAAGCTACGACGACCTCTAAAACAATTCCCTCCGCCCCAATCATGTACAAGGGAGTTACTGAGACTGCTGGTGCGTTTCAAAATACAATTCCATGCTGATGTTCGGCATCCCTCCCAATGGTCATCGGAACCGCTGATGGATTGACCGGGCAAACCGTCTATGCCTTCGTTACCTTGAAACCGTGAGTATTATCTAGCCCCACCGCCAGGCGGGTATTCACCAGCCGATAGTAAAGCCGCATACGATCCAAACGACAAATCCGGCCTTCAATCAAGGGGCTCGTGCTCCAAGTGCGCAAGGTTCCTGGACCGTTCACGGCTCCAGGGGAGGCATATCGTGAGCGACCTGTTCAAGATGCGTCTTGGAAGGTGCGTGTTGCTTGAAGGTGCATTAGGTGAAGCCGGCATGCTCCTTAGAAGATCATATGTAGGATAATGAGAAAGATTCTCGTGTTGTAATGAACAGCTTGTGTATTTTCAGTAAGACTTAGCTAGATGAATACATTCCCATTCCTCTGATACCACGCAGAGAGAAGAAAACATGCCAGCATACGAGAATTAGTTGATTTAACAATATGTATACTTAGTCGTTACTTACGTCCAACTTACGTCTGGCTACCAACTGGCTACGAAATTAAAATTAGCAGTAGGAACCGAGCACTTATTCAAAGAACCAAGAGTGGATTCCTAAATACATCATCAAAACCAACTGTTTCTTGCCCAGATACATGTAATAATATACTCTAGGTTTTAAAATGAACAAGAAGATGCAAAGAAGATGAGGAGCAGTGTCTGTTTGTTTATGTTTTAAAAACAGCTTATCGGAGTTTAAACATCCAACTACCACAATCTGGCGTCGTTTTTCCCTATCTTAATGGCCTGACTCCGTGAAATAGAGGTATTCACTGAGGTAATTTACTATTTCCTCTCACTTTTGGTACCTGATACGCGCTCACAGAGTTTCCTATGTCCATTGAATGTTATGTGAATCCCATCACTCGATTTTGAGTGTATGTTCTCGATAAACGTGCGTGTATTGCTCTCAGGAGCTGTGTATTGCAATGTTTCGGACTAGGGCATCTTGCATCAAGCTCATAACACGACTCTGCACTGAACTCGTAACGCGACTCGGGGAGGAGGGGCTGAAGCTCGAGAGCATAAATATGTGTGTCGACGATCCTGACGCGCTTTGAAAAACAGGCTGGTGTATCCCCTCGTTTCCAATCAGACAATGGGATTGACATGGGTACGTGCCTGTCTAGCCATGTTCTTTGTCCAGTTTAAGTCGATTTGACCCTCACAGGCGATCGGTTTCCTCGTTTTTGTTGAAAACAGATTGCACACAGTAAGCTGTTCATCAATATGTTCGCTCCTACGGCTGAATGGCCACATATGTGTCGCATTCTAAGCTTCCATACACCCCACAACACTCAATCCAGCGGGTCGATGCCTTCCCGGGTCATTTGGTGGCAAGTTTCCTGTTGCATCAAGAAAGTCCCCTTCGCGCTGACGTCGGTCATTTCAGTAACGCTGCGCAACACTCACTCCATCTTGAAACGAGCGCGTTTTGTTGGCGCATTAATATGCGTTCGCTCCTGTCACACTCCAAATGATCCCAAAGCGGGGCCTAACAAGAATCGATTGACGGTTATGGCCAAGCGGTATTTTCCCGACCAACCTGTGATTTGCGTGATCTTACCTATATCTCAGCTGTGGGATGCGCAGAATCAGATTAATCGTCCCCATGGGATTGCATTTAGCCATACCAACAATGGCGTCATTCGGGATATGAAGATTTGGAAGGTATCGTCTCATCCTTCTCAGTGATGACCTCCTTATTGAGGGGCCCCTCTTCATTCAAAGCCCATAGCCTGGAACTCCCCAACGAGCGGTACTTCAAATATCCATGTGTTCAATAACAAGATCATCGCTGTGTCGAGCACTCAGGTACGAAGGCCATCTTCCCCTCGCCTTCGAAAATGGTATTGACGCATTTATCTAGTCCTTCCCATTCAACACGTGAGTGCGCTTGACGCTCTCTATTCTTTTGGTCCCACTTATGACACCGCTTGTGCTTCATTAGCGATGGTGAGCACCATCGTTTCCGTAGTTCGGTAAATAGACCGCTCAGTTGCCGAGTTACATAGGGTTTTCTGCTGGGGGAGCTAATATGATTCTCGAAGACAACCTATTTACATTATCTTCTCACTGGCGCCCCCTATGTTCGAATAATGTAAATAGGAATTATTGAGGAATTATGAAGATGTTTGGAACGAAGCCTGCTGATCTCGTCAGTATTTCCAACTCCGACAGAAATCACCAATAGCCGCCGGTTATCTTATCTCCAAGAAACTTAACGTTCAACCTGCACCATCGACAACCCATGGCGAAAAGTCCAAGGGTTCAAAGATTTTGAACCTCTACTTATGAACACGTAAGTACATCGTGTTCCCAGGACCAAGAATATCAACACAAACTCATCGCACCTGTCACGGACTTCCTCAGGTCTTCGCCTCTGCTTCTTCCAGCTCGTGACTTCCGCATCTTTGCCATCACTAAACCTCACTCGAACAGGCCGCCCTTCCGCGCAGTGTGACACCCTTTCCTTTGGACAGCATTTATCGCAAGAGTCACAATTCTGCCCTCAAACGTTCGTGTGTGCATACATCTACCTCCTTTAACACACCCTTACGCTATGACAGGATTAGCATCGTGCTACTCCGCCATCGACACATCTTAACTCGCCACCTGTCGATCGAACATCATGACGGGAGTTTATCGAACTTTTGCTATTGAATCTAGTGAGTCTTTTTTTGTTGTATTGGGGATTTCACTGATGCGGCAGTCCTAGTATATTACCCTGCGGCAAAAACTAGCAATATGCCTGGCTATCCGACGACAGTCAGCGTGATCAGGGCGCTTGCTGGAACAATGTCGATGGTGATAAAAACGTCAGTTCAAAGTTGGAGTGGAGGCCTATACGGGGTATGTCGCTTTTCCTAGATTTCCCCCCTCCCCCTTCTGGTTCGGTCTGACCTTCCATTGATATCTTCCTTCTCGCCCTTTCCTCTCATCACTCCTCCTAGTTGACCGAACAACGACTAACGAGACACCCACAGTGGGGTATGGCATCTCGAGGCACGGCAACGACGCTCTGTTCTTTAAACTTCTTTCCATCAGCCTATATGCTCCAGGCATGTGTTTTGCTCCTTCTTCCTCGTTCTCCCAACACACCCCTTACCCTTCGCATAAGCGGAATCATCGTAATTCGCTCGACGCAGGAATTCATCGGTTCTCATAAGAGTCAGAGGTGCGCGTCCGCTTGTTCATTACTAGTCACTGGTTATTCACCATAAAGCAATCTGTCAGCACACCGCGGTCGGTATCCAAAGCCGCCATTGCCGCTGCGTCTTCCTCCCCAGCCGCAGACGAACACCTCGCGAAGAACCTCCGCAAGTTCGCTTCTGCCCATACGGCGTTGTTGGGCTGGGCTGGTTTCCAGGCGTTGCAACTCAAACGTGTCCCGGCTAATATTAGGCAAAACGCATTGCTCATTGACTTGAGCTACCATCCTCACACTGAGTCGCATCGTCGGTAAGTCCAATGTTCCTTTCCTCCCGTGCACTCCATCGATGCTCACACGTCCTCTGGCAGATTTTCGATACTCTCGACCCACATTGTACCGAGGACCTATGTCCATGACCCGCTCGTCATAGTTGACATCCAGCGGCGCGAGGAACGGTGCAGGTATAGCGGGGGCATTGCGATACTCTCGACCCACATTGTACCGAGGACCTATGTCCATGACCCGCTCGTCATAGTTGACATCCAGCGGCGCGAGGAACGGTGCAGGTATAGTGGGGGCATTGGCACGCTCGTCGTCATTATCCAATGTGGCGGTGTCTCCCAAGTTATGCCCATTGAAGTCGATCCGCCTGCGAAGATTACGTGGGACTCGAGGGACGATTGGGCGAGTGTGCTCGCGCTCTTTGTGGAGAGCGGAAGGACGGATTTTAAGCCGATATCAACTACTTCAAGGGGGTGAGTTGTCCTTCCGTTGTCATTTTTCGGAGAGCGGGATTGACGAACTGGTTTAGGGTGTATTATGGATGAGGGGCGAAGCTGTGTGGACTTGAAAAGACCGTTCGCACCCAAGAACCTTTGCAACCACGCACCCTTCGTGCTCATTCACGACCACCCGGCATTTGACAGCTCGCGCACCATCAATTCACTTTGTTCACGCATCACGCATCATTCCACTCCTGTTCGTGTATCTCATGCACGACCATACCCGCGCCGTCGATCGGTGCACCCTCAGCACATATTCAAACCACTAATGAGCAACATCCATCGCATCAGCATCGTCCACATAATCTCCAGCATCACAATTCACTTACGTCTATCACGTCGTTTTCTTGGTACAATCTGTCAGTGCCATGTCGGCTTGCCGCATCTATACCTCTTCCCCGCCTCTATTCAGCTTGTCGAGTACAAGGTTGCCCCCTTGATTTCGCTTTCGCTTTCGTTCGCTTTTTCGTTTATCGAAAACATTTGGTTTGAATTATCTTTATCTACGGCTTGTGGTTCGATTTTTTGACGAGTTTCCTCAGTATATCTAACTGTGTAGATACATAACCAGATTATAATAGTCTTGTGCGATACAATGGTATCCACGCACCCAGATTTGGTTGAGATAGAAAACGACGAAAAGTCGAGATTAGGGGGAGCGAAGCTTGGACAGTTTCATTGAGAGCCTGAGCTTGAAAACGACAAGAGAACGGCTGATCGATAGAGTCGTGAAGGGGCAGAATAACAGGGCAAGCTCCGCAAGTAGAAGAGGAGCAAGTCGAGAGGGCCACACCAGATGCACAAAGGTTTATCGTCGGCTATCTCCAGAGTTGACCACTTCAGAAGGCTTGATGACCCGTCTTCCCCCGAGTATTATTACCTAAGGGGTCCTCAACTTGAAGGTCTGGATCCGTTTGAGGACGTCACCAATGTGGTGGGGGCCACGGTCATCCTTATCAAAACTGGATTTTCGACGCATGCTACTATATGTGGTTTTTTTTGTTTCTTGTATAACCGCTAACGCGTGTTGTCATGGGCCAACGCCTCCCTCAGCTCCAATCCACCTTCACCAGGTTCAGCCTAACACCACCCTTCCCCACGTCGAAGTACGGAAATGGGGAATGAGAGGTGAAGCGAGTGCGACAGTCGACAAATGAACACATCATGAGCGACATGGGCAGGAGAGAACGACTGGTATTGCGAAAAGGGTGGTACGCGTAAAAAGGAGTCGTCGAGTGTAAAAGATGAACGGGCGAAGGATGTCAATCGAATGGAAATACGGAGAATGGAAACGAGAGAGGAAGGACGAGGAGAGCAGACGAAGAAGGCGTTAAAAGGCAGTGCGCAAAAGAAGTGCGCAAAAGAAACGAAATGCAAAAAGAAACAATGCATCCCGGCAAAACTTGGCCGCGGTAAAAGTGCACGCGCGGAGGTGCATAAACAAGCGAAGATGGAAGATGAGCAGGGATATGCGTCGCCGAAAAGGGGTAAGAGATGTGGTGAAATGAAAAGGAACGTGAGTGAAGGTAAGGCATGAAGTGGAAATGAAAAGAGAGGCCGAGAGGAACACGATGGGGGAAAGAAGGATTGAATGACGATAAGAAAGACCTAACAGAAAGACACACGCACAAATGCAGGAAGAGAACGGCGGCTACGTCGAAGAGGAAGCAAGAAGAGGAGAATGGAGACAAAAAGGAGGGCCCGACGTAGAGCATAAGAAGTCCCACAGAACGGTGAATCATAAAGTGGCTCTGAAGGTGAACAAGGCGCGAGAAGAAAGAAGAAAGACGAAAAGGTTGGCGGGTAGGTGAAAAACCAGTGCACAGGTAGAGAAAGAAAGAGGTGTAGAAGAATCGTATTAGAGCGCGCCGAGGACTATAAATGGAAATGAAAGGTGGGGAACCGATTCAAGCAAACGGACGAGCGGGACAGGAAGATGTGAAGCTGGAAACGGCGCCAATGGCACGAGGCGGCAACAAGGGACACGAGAGGGTTTAAGGAAAGAAAAACGATCCATTGAGTGGAAAATGAAAGAGAGGCGAGGAGGAAGAGAGGGAGATACAAAAGAAGGATGGAGAACGAGGGAACGCTACTCACTCTTACTCTTGACAACCCCCCAATCTTCAAAGCTGCATCAGCCTCCATTTCAGCCTCATGCACGTCTTCTTAATTCCTCCTCGAGAAGCCGCCAAGAGGTTTCTCATGCGGTCTAAACGGTACACGCACTGGCAGCACTCTTGATAACGTGTGGGTTTCGAGCATACAGTACTATGAAAAAGTAGATTCAGACAGCTTGAAAGAGAAGGGGGAGGTGGAGAGAACGTACTCATCAAGGGCCACCTTTGCAGGCTTGGGTAACAACTTTTCGGCAAGTGGCGGGACTCTTCGTCGCTTGTATGCGTGGAAAAGAGCGTGCGCCTTCTTCCTCCTCCTCCATACGCTCCGCGACGGGTGAGGAAGAAGCAGTAATGGTAACTACGTCACACGTCGTCGGCGTCTGTGTAGCAGCCAAGTCGTTATGACGTCGAGGCTCCACGCGGGTTCCACGGCATGGAGGTCGTGGATTGTTTGGTTGTTCGTGGATTGTTTGGTTGTTCGTGGGTTGCATGTGGTGGGGACGGCGGAGGTGAATGAGTTAGAGCTGTACGCTCCTGCTATTGAAGGGGACGGAAGGAGAACTGACGGTGGAGGGAGGAGTACTGGCGTTAGTGGTGGTGGCCTAGAAGAGGTGAATTTGGTTTTGACTTTTTGGACTTTGGTGCAGAAGAAGGCTGGACTGGTTGGATGGAGTCGAATTGACCGTGTATTGCGTCTTGTAAGACTGTAAAGGGGGTAAAATCGTCTGACGCTGATCTGAATGTATCCAATTCCTAAAGCCCTAGCAACGACGAGGACGGTGAGCGCAGATAAAAGCTTCGTGAAGAGCCCATTCAAGTTGTTGTTGTAAACGAGTGTAGATGTGATCCTGGGACCTCGGATAAGATTGTGACGCAGAGTGTCAAATTATTCCTGACGTGAAGCCTTGAACCAATAGACGGGTTCGAGCCCGCGAGGGCAAGCAGGGCGAGAGAGCTGCAGCAGGAGGCGAGAGAGTTTCTATGATTGTCAGTTGTTTATTCTGCACTTGATTCTGCAAACATTGGACCAAATACAGCGACCCTTGTCTATCGCATCGTCGGCCATCCACTACGCCCGCAATCATTGGCAGCTCGAGCTGAACAGACCAGAGAAGACCTGAAAATTTGAAGTAAGGACGCTACCGACATGCCCAACTATCGACTTCAAGACTTGAAAGTTCCCGATTCGCATATCTGCTTCCTAACTAGACAAGAATGGATTAGCGGAATTTTCGACCACACTCTCGCAGCGCTACTCAACGGAACTGCAAATGATCATGGGGATAATATAGTAAGGAAATTCCTCTCGACCTTCCCGTAGTTCACACGGATCTCGTTTAGAACGTCATCTTTGACTGTTGCCATTCAGGATCCGGGACACGAAGAGGTCGCAAAGTCCGAGGCCTTCCTAAAGTTTTCAGCCAGGATATACCACAGGACCTTGAACATGACATCTAGCAGATGATTGGCCAATTACGTTCTTTTGGCAGCGTGCACACAGAAGGAAGGAGCAGCTGATGGCGGCGCCGCGGGTGGGGCGTTCACCCAAGCTCTCCTTCCTACTTTCAAGTCGTCTGACGCGGATAAACCCACCTATACCTCTCTTTTCAAGAGGACGGACAAGATACCATCGTAAGTCTGATCAACTGTAGTACCTCCAGGCCGACTGACCTTGTTTCCCATAGCCAAAACCCTCAGTGTGAAAGGTTGAACCAGAACGNCATCATTTTCGACTCCAGGGCACCTACAACAGGACGTGTACGTTTTCCTATCAAGATCGACGGCAGCCTATACGAGATGCAAGCCGGATCCGCACATGGTCTTACAGAGGGCTCCGAATTCAGTCTATACAACAACAGTCTCACCATCGACGACTCACCCTCCCTCTGCGTCTTCGTTGTTGCTTCTGCGGCCGACATTGGCCCATTCACCACAACACTTCAGATCAAACATACATCCAGCGCCACCTCACCATTCTTTCCGCAACTTCTTGTGTTTTGCAGACAACAGCTGGGGAGGCAGAGGATCTTTTGCTATTCGCTCCGCTTGATGGAAAACTTCTCGCCCTGTATGAAACTCTGGCGTAAATGATGAAGGAGTTCCATGCTGGTAAGAGGCAAATCCGACAAAGGAAAAGGCCAGACTCGGTCTTTCGATTGTGGACAACAGAATGGCGTTCGACATCCTTGATCCGCATCTCGCAGAGCACGGCTTGACGCGTATGCCTCATCCCGTAGAAAACAACCTGTAGGAAATCATTCCGGTCCCTCATAGTGCTGCTCGTTTCTATTGGCATCTCAACTGCGAGGTGAAAGATGCTCTCGTCAACATCTATACCTACATTGAATGCATGACCCTCAAACCCACAAGTGATTACGACTCCTCCGGAAATGCAATTCTGAAACCGACTGGGGACAACCTCCTACAGCTTGTTGTCATTGACGTCGTTGCGTCAGATCGGACGATGTATGGATATAAAATTACCAACAACAGCGCTCGTGTTCTCCACATCTACTCCTTTTACTTCGACAACAGCAACTTTAGCTTTGGTAATTTCAAGATAATTCTTACCACCACTTGACATCTTTAATCCATTCTCAGACACATACTACGCATCACCAACAAACGGTAAATAAAAAACCTACCCCACCCTCCCCAAAAATGACGGCTATCTCACCCTCGGCTACGGCTCTAGCAGAACTGATCCATTCACCTATCACCCAAAGAACAGCACCGACATTGACATGGCGTATCTAGTATTCTTCATCCCCTCGCGAATGTCAATCTCTCCAAGATTATCCTGCAGAAGACGCCGTTCGAGGGTCCGGGACGCACGTCTGTGTCAGTGTCGCCCCCTGCGAAGCCCATTTACGGTACTTTCTTGGTGCCCATCGTCCAGCGCCGTTATCCTGTCCAGAAGCAGTGAATGCTCCGAAACTTCCGAACCGGCGTTTATGTGCTGTCGATTTTACTGGAGAAGTTCGGATCGAGGTCGCCATTTTAAAGTTTACTTGCGTAGAATGTTTTAAATCAGAGAATTTGTAAGGAAATGTTCTGACTTAGGGTTATTGAGGACTGTAGGGTTCATAAAGGGTTGTCAAATTTTGTTCGGGGTTAGATGTAGAGATTGAAAATGGGTTGGTAGGATTACGGTGTAGAGTTAGGGTTATAAGACATAAAAAATGCCTAACCCTATCTACATTATTCGAAAATAGGAGGGGCCAAGACAATGTAATAAGGAAGGTGCCGCTATGGCGCGACACTTCGGCTGTGAATTCATCGAAACCTTGGCCAAGACAGCGCAGAACGTAGAGCGCCTTTTCAGGAACCTTGTTCGTGCATTACGACAGGCCAGAGAAAGCTCAGTCCCGACCAAAATAAGAGAGAAAAAGCCGGGCATGTATCATCATGTAGGGGACTTTTTTCTGGGATTTCTGGGCTTCAGACTCCCTTACATTTTTGTTTCTTTTTCATATTTCGTCGCCTCTGACTTGATGGCCACGCCATCAATACATCCTTTATACCCATAAGTAACAGCACTTGCAACGTGGACAGGCTGCGCCTCACATACATAAAGTGATCAGTATCATCGACGACTTATCGTGCCTTTCCATTGCGAAAATCCTGACTTCTTGTGTGCCTGATGATCATATTACCCTCCCCGTAAATCGCAATGCCATGCAACGCAGCGAAATCTTTCGTACACTACGCTCTTTACTAACATTTTACAGGAACACGGCGATGTGCCCGAGTCCTTGGGACACGTGAACCGATCAACTTGACGTTTGT